CAACCTCAGCCTATGACCACATAAACAAGCAAAATGAAATGGGCCAGTCAGGGAACACAGCCCCATTCATGTGGTAGCCAACAATTCAGCTAACCAGCCTCAGATGCAAGAACCACCCTGCATGTGAGGCAAGCCTTCACAGATGTAGGAAGAACTCAATCCTGCAGGATTAGTAGAAATCCACCACAGTGCCCTCCAGATTTAAAAGTAAGTTTTAGAATAGCTCAGAACAGATTTCATGATGGGACTAGGAAAGGATCAACTCAGATCATGTGACCTGCAAGCCATCTGCTTAATCCACACTTACAGAGCCATAGCATAGGGGAATGTATTGGCTGGACTTCAGCCAGTGCCAAGGCCTTCTTGGAAGATCAGCACATGAGGGATCTCCAGTATGCTTAGAATATGAACACTAAGAAGCAAGACAAAACAGGTCACCATTCCCCAGACTGAATAACAAAACTTTTAGGAGACAATAAGGTGCTTTGCTGTCTTCTACTGCTTCTCAGAGCTTAGACCTTCCAGTTAGAGCATGGTGCAGCATTTTGCAAAGGAGAAAGTTTTCAAGGGGAATGATGAATGTGAATGGGGGGCTCATTGAGGTACATTTGCAAGAAGGAAAGTAGTATGTGCTAACCACTTAGCATAGAGTTAGTGCCCTGGTCACAGAGCAAAGAAAGCTGGCAGAGTCACAAAGGATTTAGGGCTCATGGGAGACCCCAAGTGGTGCTGAGGTATGGGTGAAGAAGAAAAATACACAAATAGATGAACTAGCCTTACCTACAGGTTCTAGACTTTTTTCTCTGGAGACTAGCATTGCCAACACAAAGAGATAAACTCTCATTTCCATGGGTCTTTAGAATTTTTAAAGTGCTTTCAATCTTTGATTTATCACTTGAAAGTTTTATAGTTGAGAAATGGATCGCTGGAGACTGTTAACTACTTTGACTCATTTTGACTAGCTGCAAAACCAGTTCTTAAACAACTGGTATTTTTTATTTCAAGTTTAGGGGCTTCCTCTATTACATTAAACTCCCTTCTACCTCTGTTTTTCTAGTTATTTCTAAGCCATTAACCCCTGTAAACTCAACTTGTGGGCCTGGTGTGGCTCTCTCCTCAGCCTACAGACCCATCTGTCTCTGCTTAGAGCCAAGACGTATAGACCAGATGGAGAAGGGCATCCTTGACCTTGTCCATCTTGCTGCTCCATCTGTACCTTTTCCTTTCCGTGAACCCTTGGAGACCCTAGACTGATTAAGGTCAAGAGGATAGATAGCTCAATATTTGAGCTCAGGAACTGCTGGTTTCTTTTGCTGTTCCTTCTTTGGTAAACCCCCCCTGTGATTCCCATCTGAAAAAACACTGTAACATCACAAATAAGGGCATAGATTTCAGAGCCTGACTTAGTTCTGAATCCTAGCATTATGAATTATTAGCTGCCTTAATAAGGCAGAACTCTCTGAACTTCTGTTTCCTCATCCATAGTGGAAATTAAAAATAACTGTGTTTTGGTCTTGTGAGAAACAAGGTAAAATATATTCAGTGTCTGATATAGTGCCAAATACTTAGCAAGTGCATATTAAATGGTAGTTGTTATTGCCAACCAAATAATAGTCCCAGATACTTTAGCAAGGCTCAAGGCTCCTCACAGTGTGACCTCCTCTCCCCGCCTTACACTCCGGCAAGCCTGTCCTTCCTCTAATGCGAGAGCTTCCTTCAGATTCCCTGTGCTGTTCTCTCGGAGACTCATGAGGGAGGGCAGAAGGCCATTCCGCTTAGAGGAGGAAGAGCTCTTCAGATTCCTACTCTGTCTCCCCTCCCCCCCCCCCCCCCCCCCCCCCCCCCCCGCCATGGAAAGAGTTGGTTCCTTGCAGAAATAAATTGGAGAGTGTGTCCTTTGAGAAAGGGTGGGGGGTGGGGCTGGAAGTTGAAGAGTGAGATTACAGAGAATGATGAGTGATTATACATGAAAGATCTGGAGGGCAACTTGACAATTGAGCTGGAAAAGTCTCATCTTTTACTGATGAGACATAAGAGAAATGTGACTTTTTTTTTTCCTGGAGAGCAGCCAGGAACCAAATAAGTAGGAAATACATGGGAAAATGGGTGGCTCAGATGAGTCCCAATTAAATTGGGACCAGTACATCCTACCATGTGAAATTATCCTCAGATTTTAACATTAGAATCAATTTCACTAATTAGCTAGGCAGTGTAAAAAAAAAATTCTGATTATACATGAAGTAACAAAGACTAACAAAGTGTTATCAAATGATTATATTTAAACAATTTGTAAAAAAGCACATGAATTATTTCAAAAATAATGTGCCTCAATTAAAGTGCTTGAGGTGCTTCCTCTGGTTTGATAAAACCTTTCCCTGACAATCTTCTTAACTTCGATAATGCCTTAAATAACTCTTGTATGCAGGGATTTGGGAAAGGTACTTTAGCCTGGTGTATGTGTAAATTGTGATATATTTTAATTAATGTTAAAATTAATATTGGAGCTAAGTTGTTGAGACTTTTCTGGATTCTGTGGCTTTGTTATCCGGTATTCCTTTCATTTCAAATGGCAGTTTTCAAATCGGTGCTGAACATATGTTAACAAAACTGAGAAGCGAGTGTGCTTTTCTGCAACCACTCAAAATCAGAGCTTTTCAGTGGCTTCTCCTGTTTGAACCATGTGCAGGGCAATGACTAATCTTTATTTTGCTTTGGGCCTCTGTCTTCTTACTATCCTTGGCTCAACTTTGTGGGAGGAGGGGACAAGTATCCCCCCTCCCCCACTGTACATTGGCAGCTACAGTCAGTTGTTGAGATCAGAGTGTGCTATTAAGGAACCCCATTGTCCAAAACAAGGGACACACACATCACACGAGCAATGGGTCAGAGGTGCTCTTTGTTCCATAGCAGAATATTTTACTAGGATCCTGGAGCAAAATTAATTATAGAGAACAAATTCTGTCCTTTATCCAGCTGTGTGGGAAGAGCAAGAAATTTGGGGCCTTCCTTCATAAAATGGGCATCTGTGAGTATGAACCTCTGACAACCCGTTCAGATGCTACTGGACGTAAAGGTCTCAGAGTTGAGGACCTAGGCTAAGCAACAGGTAAAAGCCTGGAGTGTGTGACTCTAAATCTCCTGCCCATCCATTGATCCTGCTCTGTTCTCTCATTTTAGGGATATGGAAGGTTCTCCCTAAGCTTTTCCTCACTATGAATAGCCTGGGGAAAGGAAGGTGACCTATGTAGTTGTTTTGGTGAAATTTTCAATCAAGCGATTACATTTTCGCATGGCATGTAGCTTGCGATTATACTTAATATTTGCTTGTTTACTTGAGGTCTTTCCTCCTTACTAGACTTGGTAAGTTTCAAGAAGCTAGGGACCTCATTTGTTTTACTTATAGTGGTATACCACAGCTAGAAGAATACCTGGCATATACTAAGGACTACATCAGTGCTGTTATATGAGTGGATAAAGGTGTGTTTGGCCAGTCCACCACGAGTCCAGGCTTGTGTATGAGAAGACACAGTTACAGCTCCTGGGAAGATACTATCTTTGCCTTCTGAACACTCAGAGGGTATCACATGAGAGACAGAAGATTTATAGCGCCTTGGGTTTAATTCCCAAATAACCATTAATTTGGCAATTCCAGTGAAAATTAATGTAAAATAATCATTAGAAGTCCTTGTGACATTTAGTGGTGTAACATAGGCTTGTGATAACATTAAAAAAAATTAAGAAAGGAGGAAAAGTACCCTTTAGAGCAACCAGCAACTAAGAACCACAGCCTGAATTCTAGCCATTTCTACATGGCTGCAGGCAGGTTCACCAGTGGAAATGTGGCTCACTTATTTAGTGATCTTAGGCAAGACACATTTTCCTGGGGATGCAATTTCCTTTACAGTTAAGTGTATTTCAGGGACCTTTTCCAGCTCTAGAATTTGGTGAGCTATTTGACAGAGCCTGGAGCCAAAACCTGCTGTAGAGGTTTACTGGTTCGGAGCAAGAGCTCCTACCATCGTACAGTCTTGGCTTGAAGGCCCAGCTTGCCTGCTCATGCGAGGTCTTCCTTAACCTCTCTGAATCACGTCTGTAAAATGGGGATAGTCATATCTATGTCCTAAGGTTATTAGAAGCTCTAACTAAAGAGTTGCACTAAAAGTTCCTAGCATAGAGTCCAGCCAAGAATAAACATTCAGAAAGTTGGCTCTCGTTATTTCTATCTTAAGTATTTCATATTTATGCTCTCACCTTTTTTTGTTATTGGAAAGCCTCAAAATAGAGCTGGGACAGTTTTTCTTCAAGCAGCACAGCAAAAGCTCATGATAGACAGTCGGTCATTTAATTATTCAAAGTCATCCCTCTGTGTGACATCAGGACCTTGAAAGACAATGCCTTTCCCTATATTTTGAAGTGGTTTTAGGGTGTTACGCATCCAGCTTTTGAGAGAGCTCATGCTATCCCTGACAGAGTGATTGTGTGCCCCACTGCCAATGAACTTCTTCATAAGCATAGATACACCACTGTGGCATAAAATGCCTTTCCCAAGAGAGTTTCTGGCCCAGAGCAGAGGCATAATTCCTCTATCCTGGTTTCTTCTAAATTCACTGGAAATAGTTTGTTTGAAGACTACAAAGGAAATAAAAGACTATATTTAGAAAACATCAATGGACTGGGCTCCATGAAATAAAGCGCAGTATGGGGAAGGCCGTCTGGTTAGAGGCAGCTTCACTACACTTGCAAAGGGCCTTTGCCTATCCAGGTTGGAGAGGTGGGTGTGGAGCAAATGGTGCGCTGGCGCTTCCTTTCCCAAAGCGTGTGGACTCTGAAAGTGCCAAGGCTGTAAGCGGGAGCTCCTGGGCCTGTGCTTGTCCAATTCCCTGTCGCTGGAAGGTTCCCTGTCCTCCCTGAAGTTTTCTGACTGTCTCCTTCTCTCCACCCCTCCTCTTTTTCTTTTTTTTTTTTTTTTTTTAACTGCTTTCTGCTTGGATCCTCCATAGGAACGCCTTGGGGTAAATATTGTTCTCTCTTTTCTTTGAAGTAAAGAGTATGGGAAGTGGGCTTGGAGGAGGTTGCAAGTATGGTTGGGGAGGGAAGGAGCCAGCTCGTTGAGAAAGGAGCGGTGAGTTTATAGGAGTGGTAAGTTCTCATTGACATCCAAGAGAACAAAAGTGCAGAGTTGCCAACCGTCTTGGAAAAGTGATCATTTTTATTGATTTAGGTATGTATTTGGCTTGGAAGTTGCCTTTTTCAGGTAGGTAGATACATGAATGTAATGCAGTGAAAGAGTTTATAAAATATACAAAACCCCTGGATGCAAAAGACCTTATAATGCAGTATTTTTAGATGATGTGTATTCAGAGCTCAAATCGAATAAAAGTGGCTTACAGGCCATGGCCTAGAGCCGTTAAGAGGGTCTTTAAATTCACATTCTGGGCAAAGCCAACATTCCTTGAATTCTACTAAATGTCTTCCTACCTTGCCTTCTGTGGAAGATGATCTTTTATCTCCCTGTCAGCGGGGTGCAGAGAAGGGCAGGAAGGACAGGGTAAAAGGCAGGCAGAGGCCCTTGTGGTTCCTGTCTGATGCTCTGGATCCCCTTTCCTTGAGCTGTCGGTGGAATGGTACTCTGGGCCAACATGGGGAAGGCACCAGATCCTGAGCTCAGTCTTTAGAGTCTCATTTCCCACCATCTGTGTCTTTTACAAATTGCAATTGTGTGAATTGAATGCAAAGATCTCAGGGGATAAGAAGGGTGGAGGGAGAAATGCAGGTTGATTTATTCATTTCATTCCTGAAAACAAAAAGAGAAGTGTATTTTACCTATTAGGAGCAAACGTTTCCAAGCAGCTGAATAGGGAGGCTCATTAGGGCAAGGATAAAGGTGGGCAGGGATTGGAGTTTGGGCCTTCTCCAACTGTATGGCTCTCCGCAGCCTGTGCTAGGCATAAGGCACCTCAGATGAGAAGGGACTGCTCACACGCACAGATAGTGTGAGCCAGAGTCCTGGCAAGGAGCCTCCGTGACATGCTTTCTCTAGAAGTGGCAGCCAACCCAGCAGGGGTGTCCTGTCCCTACTGCCCTTCCTCACCCTGCTCTCCCCTGAACTAATGAGCTCTGCAGAGGCGGCAAATGTAGAGCTGAAGAAAGGACCAGGTTAAGTCCTCTGAAGAGACTTGCGTTTAACCAGGGGTTACCAGCCCAGTCAACAAATGTCATTTGAGAGCCTGCTACTAAAGAAGAGCCAGACCAGGCACCTTGGGGATCCATAGTGGCCTACCAGTCACGTTCCATAGTCGATCTATCTCCATTCTCATTCTGCTGATGTGTTAATAACCAGCATTACTCTGGCCATTGGGGAGAGGAAGTGTTTATTATCATACTTACTACATGGATGCCTATGTGTGTGTGCACATGTGCTCTGTGTGGATATACATGAATGTGCGTGTGCACATGAGTATGTTCAAACTGGGGAGTGAATTGAAGTTTTTCTCAGAGCCTGTTTTGTGGGCTCTTCCTGAAGGGAGTCCACTCTGACCTAGTATCTGGTCTCTTGCCTAACTGCCCCCCCCCCCCGCCGCCTCTGCTTTTACCTTGTTGTTGTTAATGCAGTAGTGTGAATGCACTTTCATTTGTCCCCCTGTCTTCTGATCCCTGGGGACCTCTCCCTGCAGAACTAACAAGGGGCGGGACATCAAGACCATCAAATCTCTGAGGGTGCTCCGAGTTCTGAGGCCACTGAAGACCATCAAGCGCTTGCCCAAGCTCAAGGTAAGGTTTTCTGAGTCCCCTTCTCCCATCTTGTCTTTAGCCATGTTCTGCCTGCTTTCAGAGAATTATTTCTGAGAATATTCCTTTTGCTCACATAGGGACTGGGGTCCTTTCATCTACCTGAGTGAAAGGTCTTTGTTTCATAGAAAAATAACCAACCTGCCAAGAAATCTGTAAGGGGGCTTTGGCCTCTTGAGTCCAGACCCAGGTGGCATTTTAAACACACTGTGGCTGTGACATGTCACTCAGAAAGAACCCTGTGCCATTAAGGTGGACCCAGAACACCAAAACGGAAGCAGCAGGAGTCCTCTGTCTATGTGGTGGACTGAATGCTAGGTCATGTTGAGTAACCAGGGATGGATAATTCCAGAAAAGGAAAGGATTTTCTAGCCCTGCCCCTTCATATTTTTAAGGCACAGATAGGTCAGTAACTCACCCAAGAACAGTCATTTTTGGCAGAAGCAGAGCATGGGGAAGTGAGCTAACATGAATTCTCCCTGTTGCCAGGACCTGCACTTTTATAGGTATATTACGTTTTTTTTTTTAAATATAGTTTATTGTCAAGTTGGTTTCCATATAACACCCAGTACTCATCCCAACAAGTGCCTTCCTCCATGCCCATCACCCATTTTCCCCTCTCCCCCACCCCCCATCAACCCTCAATTTGTTCTCAGTATTTAAGAGTCTTTTATGGTTGCCTCCTTCCCTCTCCTTAACTATTTTTTCCCCTTCCCCTCCCCTATGGTCTTCTATTAAGTTTCTCCTGTTCCCCATATGAGTGAAAACATATGGTATCTGTCCTTCTCTGCCTGACTTATTTCACTTAAATACCCTCCAGTTCCATCCACGTTGCTACAAATGGCCAGACTTCATTCTTTCTCATCGCCATGTAGTATTCCATTGTATAGATAGATAAACCACATCTTCTTGATCCATTCATCAGTTGGTGGACATTTAGGCTCTTTCCATGATTTGGCTGTCTTGGAAAGTGCTGCTATGAACATTGGGGTACATGTGCCCCTGTGCATCAGCACCCCTGTATCCCTTGGGTAAATTCCTAGCAGTGCTATTGCTGGGTCATAGGAGAGTTCTATTGTTAATTTTTTGAGGAACCACCACACTGTTTTCTAGAGGGGCTGCATCATAGGTATACTACCTTGATTCTCGTCCTTTCTAACCCGTGTCCTCCCTGCTCAACCCTCCTGGGGCTCCTTCCCTGGCTGAGCCTTCCTGCCCTCAGTGTACGCTTTATCATTCAAGTCCAGTTTGCTAACACATTGAACCCTCCTCCCCCCTCACATACACTGCTGTTAATGGAAGCTGAAGAGTTTTTGTTAATGGGGAAGAGTTTTTCCTCCTGAGTTCCTGTGAGAGTTAGCCACCATGAGGGAGAAGGCCTGGTTCACAGCCCTGAGGTCCACTCATAGATGCACAGGCCACGTGGCCAGCCGAGTGAGCCCCCGCACCAGGCCCGAGCATGGTCTTCAGGTGCTATACACACCGTTCACTACAACCTTGTACCTGGTAATAGGCCCAGCATTGTACCAGGCCTCAGTCCATGCCCGTAAATATTCATTCCTTTCTGCTCCACCCCAACAATATTGCCAGGGCCTGGGGCTGTAACCAATGTTGTTAGCTGCAGCCCAGAGTGGTCTCCTCTCTTCTGAGCTATGCTGGGGTCCTAAGGAGATCACAGACTGCATAATGAGATTAGTTAATAGGCTGGAGAATGCAACCCCAGCCTTGGTTAATTCCACTTAATTAGGAAGTGCTGGCTTCTCACTCTCTCTGCAGCTCCATCACCTGGGGGAAGTGTAGGTGGCTCTGATGATTCTACAAGGCTGCGTGCCGCTCACATTCCCTGCAGTGTTGAACTAATTAAACTGGTGATATTCACCCAGCACCGTGAAGAAACAACTGTACAAATGTGGCAACCGCACAAATGCAGTGCCACTATGGGGCTCGACTCTCCAGTGAGCTAAACCTAAAAACCTAGAAAATAACCTAAAAATGGCTTGAAATGTGTCAAATTCCTGTGTAACTCCTCACAGCTCAGGGCCTAGAATGGATTCTGCAGAACGACATCCGTGGCTTGTGACTGAAGTGCCAGTCTGAGTCTGTCCACCCAGTCCACCCTTCTCTATGGGAAGGTGGCTCTCCGTCCCTTCCCACATCACCTGTTGAATCTCATCCCCAATACAGTCAGCTTTAAGCTAGAGAACATTTATGTGTGAAGTGTTGAACCTATCTTGATCAAATGTATGAATTAATTCAAAATATCATTAAAATAAAGGTGGTAATTTACTGCGCTCTCTGATCTATTTAGAAAGGTAAAGAGAAAACAATACACATGCAATATATAAACCAAATCTAAGAAGGTCACCAAATAGATGTAAGGTTAGGGACAAGCCATTTAATGGCTAAAATGGGCTAAATGCTCTCAGAGATCCCTTTCTGCAGTAGATTTCTGTCCCTCCCGGTGACTGGAGTATGCCTCTTGGGATCCCACAAAGGACTTCCACCACCACCTGGTGCCTTTTGGCCTGTACTGCTTTGGGGTTTACTTTCAGATTCAGAGCACCTTCCAAGTGGTAGGTCCTTGCAGTCATGACCAGCTTGGAAGCCAGCTCCAAATCCCATGAGTGTCACTTCTTAGTAAGGTAATGTCTCCTGGGGCACTTTCTCAGTGGGGCTGTCTGGTGGTGATGTGGCCCCAACTCCATGCTAGACAAATGCACAGGCCATTCCAGGGACTCACAGTGCTCTTTACTTCTCTTTGCAGGCTGTCTTTGACTGTGTGGTGACTTCCTTGAAGAATGTATTCAACATCCTCATTGTCTACAAGCTCTTCATGTTCATCTTTGCTGTCATCGCGGTTCAGCTCTTCAAGGGAAAGTTCTTTTATTGCACGGACAGTTCCAAGGACACAGAGAAGGAGTGCATGTAAGTGCACCCAGCACACGCCACTCACTTCCTGTGAAAGTATGATCCAGTGGTGCCCACATGACCCTCCACAGATAGGCCTTCTCTTTCTCTCTTACCCATCTCTTATTTTTTATTTTGGAAAAAAAGGCAAACTAGGGAACTGCTAAACTTTTGTGTCACACATGGTACATGGCATTTTACATACAGTTTTTCATTTTACATCTTTACAATGACCTTTTGAGATAGGTTTCATTTACATATTCTAGATGTGGAAGCTGAGGCTCAGAAAGTTTAGACTGCTCAAGGTTACACAGTGACTAGTAAAAGAATTAGGATTTCATCTTCCATGTCTACTGGGCACCAAATGCCACTTTTATTCTGCAATGATAGACTGCCTTTAATAATACACTGCTTTCCTCCTTGCATTTGTATCCTGATTATTACTTAGCCACATGACTGAAGTTTGTAGAGTTTCCTGACTCCCCCATGAGCTATAGTGAAGAGGCCCTATTTCATTTGTACTCTGGTTTTAGAGGCAACTATGTAGATCATGAGAAAAACAAGATGGAGGTGAAAGGCCGGGAATGGAAGCGCCACGAATTCCACTACGACAACATTATCTGGGCCCTGCTGACCCTCTTCACTGTCTCCACAGGGGAAGGATGGCCTCAGTGAGTGATGGGTTTGAGTTGGCATGCTTGTCTGTGAGCTGGAATAGAACCACATGGTGCCTTGAGAAGCTTATTCAAGATGAACAAGGCTAGCCCTTTGTTATTAATACCAGGGAAAGTAAGTGGTTATGAGTGGGTGAGAGGTGGAAGAGAGGAAAAATGAAAAAACTTAAAGCAAAAATCAAGAGGGCGATAACAAAGTCAGAAATATTTGAAACTCTTCTTGTTTTAGCCAATTATTGAGTTGAGGGGAGTCATCTGACTCATGTAGAACAGATGAGTTTTGCACAGCTCTCCACCCCTTAAAAGAATACCTGGGGACTGTTTTAGATACATTTATCTTCCATGTTGGCCCTTAACCATGGGATTGAGGGTTAAGAATGAGGTGGCAGAATTCAGAGACACTTTATGCGATCACACCTCTATGAAGAAGACAACAGAATGCAGTTTCTTAGGCTGCTGATGGCTGATTTTTCAGAGGCTTGGCAATTACTAAGACCCTACTTTCTGGTGGCAGCATACTCTATTGGCAATACCCCAAATGGAAATCCAGGGGTCTCTTAGTATTGAATATGACAACCTAAGCTATAAAATAATGTCACTCTGTTGCTTACCAGTTGGATGCATAATGGAACAGGGCCTAGAAAAAGCAATGGATTGGGGAGGTGGGGGGGAGGTTACTGGATCTTCACCAACTTGACTATGGATCCTAAAAATGGTGGATCTGCAAAGTCAAGGAAGTCACATAAGAAAATATAATAGGTGGCACATCTCCTAATGAAGCCATTAAGTCAGAGCCACTGCCAAGATTGCCATCCATCATCCAAGCCCCCTCATTCTGTCCCTACAGAGTCTTACAGCATTCTGTCGATGTGACAGAGGAAGACCGAGGACCAAGCCGCAGCAACCGCATGGAGATGTCCATCTTTTACGTGGTCTACTTTGTGGTCTTCCCTTTCTTCTTTGTCAATATCTTTGTGGCTCTCATCATCATCACCTTCCAGGAGCAAGGGGACAAGATGATGGAGGAGTGCAGCCTGGAGAAGAACGAGGTAAAAACAAGTGGTCTAGAGCATGGGACAGCAGGAGCTCCAGAAAGGGCTCTTGGAACAGCAGTGGTAGGAAGGGAGACTGAATGCTCTTGACTTTATAAAAAAGGACAGAGAGAAGATGGGAAAAATTAATTATTCAGTCACTAAGTAAACTTTTTTTTTTAAGAAGCAGCTCTTTTAAGACTTAGGCATGAGGCACAGAGAACTGGAAGGTTTAAGATGTAGTCCTTATCCTTATGCACCGAATAGTCTAGAAGTGGTGGTAAAAGATGTGTGCCAAAATTACCACATTAAGACATTTGCTTATCTGGCTCTGTCCCTCTGTGGCATGTATTTGCTATAAGAATAGGGGATATGGTTTGCTTATTGCTGCTTTTCTAGTAACAAGCATAGTTCTGGCACATTATAGGGTTCATTATTTTTGTAATGGAATGGAACCTGAGAATGTTCGAGACTATGAGAGAAATACAAATAAAGTGCTCTGGGAATGCATAGGGAGATAGATTTTTACTTCTGATGGAGAGCATCAGGTAAGGCTTCCTGCCTAATCACCTCAGCCACAGGCTGTGTAAAAGGACATTATTAGTAACCACAAAGTCCATATCCCATGTGACATCCCAGTGCTGTGTATTCATTTAAAAGTGACCACGCACCTTTCTTTTGTCCACATAATCCCTGTTGCCAATTTTCCTTTTGCTTGTCTAGCCCTGCCTTTGTTTTCATACACTGTCCTGTTTTCCTAGCCACCTAACAGAGAGCCCACCAATGTGCAAAGTTTAGGGAACTTGAGCTTGAGCTAATAGCTGTGACTTTCCTTCAGAGGGCGTGCATCGACTTTGCCATCAGCGCCAAACCTCTCACCCGCTACATGCCGCAGAACAGGCACACCTTCCAGTACCGCGTCTGGCACTTCGTGGTGTCGCCATCCTTTGAGTACACCATTATGGCCATGATCGCCTTGAACACCGTCGTGCTGATGATGAAGGTGAGGAGGTGGCGGCTTGGGAGGCTTTCGGCAGACTGAGCCTTGGGGCCCGTTCCCTCACAGACCAGTTGCATGTGCACTCGAGACACTGGGCAGACACTCCAGCATTCAAGTCTGTTGCCTCCTTACCACCTTCTCCACTGTGGAATATCTTTTTGACCTTGCCCCAGTCAACAGCCCAGCTTCTGGGTCTTTGGGGCAAAATGCAGTGAGACATATCATAGCATAGTAGGACAGTAGCTCCCAGGACCAGAGGTGCCGATGGGAGTCAGATTCAGACAAGAGCTGAAATGTGTGATCTAGATGATCATGGGATTCTAGAGGAGTGTTGGAAGAGGTTTGAGCTTACATAATAATAAATGACAAAGTAATTAACTCCAGAAAATGTTTCTGACCTGCCTACCTTCATCTCTAGGAAGACTGGCTATTTTTGCTCATAAGTAGCCACAGCCGGGCATGGTCTGTGCCTCCCTCTGTTTTATTTCATCCTTCCACATGGGATCTGCCATCCTCCTCTCCGGCATTCGATGTCCACCTCTCCTCCGACACCACACGCCAGAGTGTCCCCCAAGGGCAGGGATGAGAGATGGCCAGCCTCGGTGACAAAGACTACCCCCCTCACCTTAAGGGTTTGATTCTTTTTCTCCTCTTTTCTCTTCTTGGCAGTACTACTCTGCTCCCTGTACCTATGAGCTGGCCCTGAAGTACCTGAATATTGCCTTCACCATGGTGTTTTCCCTGGAATGTGTCCTCAAGATCATCGCTTTTGGCTTCCTGGTAGGTCATGGCATTTATCCCAGCGTCACACTTGTCTTCCCTTCCTTTTGGATGCCTTCCCAGCCTTTGTCGGGAGGGGAGTGGTTACCGCTATTCCAGAAATGGTTCACACACCTGACCTAATTGTGGGCCTGCTCAGTAAACTGCCGTAGAGACAAGAGGATGTGTGGGGGTGTGAGGAGAAAGGGCAGAGGGCCCCCAGCTCCAAGCTCATCTAGCCATCAGCTCTGGGCCTGTCAGGTTCCGTCAGTGGTCGAGGGTGACAATCGTTGGGTCTTGCTAGAACCGCAATTTATTTATTGATAGGAACAAAACAGAGATTGGACTCGTAAGCCTTGAGTGTTTATTTATTGGTAGAACGTATAAGATTTTATAATTCAAATGGGAAAATACCTGTCCCTCTTAGCCTCAAACATAGCCGATACTAGATTTTACCTAATTGTCTTCCTCCCATTAGTTGCATGAAGTGTAAGTTCTGCCTATAAAAATAAATGTTTATTGCTTAAGTTTCCAAAGGCTAATGACCTTTAAAGTGTGTTGGGGGCGGGGAGGGGAGAGACAGGTTGATAGGCAGGTATACTGGAATTAGGTTTGAGGGGGGTTGTGGTGAGTGTTTCTTGTATGAGTCTTTTACTTTTCCTCAACTATTAATTATAATCGTTTGGCACATTCTTGCATCTGCTCTCAACAGTGTTAAGCAAACCTAGCCCTTTGCTTCAGTGTCCAATAAACAAAATCATTCTCTCTGCCACCCCCCCTTCTTGTTTCAGCGTTTACAGTGAGATCAGTGGGATGCAGATAAACCCACTTGACAGCTGTTTCACACTTATTTAGTGTGTGAGCTACCATTTCAAATTATGTGTTCATGTGGCTTTCCCTGCAAGAAAAGAAACTTTGCTTATTATCTGAAAAAGGGTTTGTCTGGTAGCAGTTTTAGCAGGGACTCTGGGCTGGGCCTGATAATTCTGAGTGTCGATTGTAGGGGTTGCTGTTGGCATCCTGATGGGTCTTTGAAAAGTCATTAACTTGATGGTTTGGGGAGGGGAGTTGAAGAGAACCCATTGCAGGTGGCTCTATTGTTGTTTGCCTGACTCCCCTTTGAGTATTTTGAGACTTGAGGAAATAAAAAAGTAAAAAGAAATTGTCACCAACAAAGATGCCTTTATAATACAGTCTAGCCCTGAGCAGGGTGAGCAGAGTGAGGGAGAAGCTGGTGCCACGACAGGGAAAGTTTTTCTATGCATCTTGATTACTTGCATGTACTATTGACATTGTCTGTGACTTAGGTCCCCAACCGTGTGTTAATTACAGTGAATGCTGAATACATACTTACAAGCTTAACTAGACTCAGCCCCCAAAGCCCGCCTCCTTCCCACCCTCACTTCCATCTTTAATTCAAGGTCTAGAGGCATTTTCACTCGTTAAAAGGTACCACTAGTTCCAAACAAGTCTTTACACTGATAGAGTATGCTGGTTTCTCAGAATATCCTAATATATACTATTTTGTCAGATCCCCTCTTAATGACTCTGCAATACGCATGGCAGATGCCATCATTATCATTGTTGATGTTGTTCATTTAAATGAATTTGAAGTTCAGAAAAATGGTATAGCTTTTTTAAAGATGATGCAACAGGGGCACCTGGGTGGCTCAATCATGTAAGCATCTGACTCTTGATTTGGGTTCAGGTCATGATCTCATGGTTCGTGGGTTTGAGCCCCATGTTAGGCTCTGCTCTGTCAGTGCAGAGCCTGCTTGGGATCTCTCTCCCTTTCTCTTTGCTCTGTCCCTCCTCTGCTCACATTCAATCTCTCTCTCCCTCCCTTCCTCTCTCTCTCTCTCTCTCTCACTCTCTCTCTCTCTCTCTCTCTCAAAATAAAAAATAAATAAATTTAAAAAGAAGATGACACAATAAAAGGCAGTAGAATTGGAAAGTGGGATGGGAATAAAAAAGGAAGAAGAAAAAAGAGAGAACAAGCATACATTGGTTGCCATATTAAGTACCCAACTCTTTATATATTATTCATTTTAGCTTTATAACAGCTCTTTTAGATAGGCATTACAGTTTCTTTTATGGATGGGTTAGGGCTCAAGAAAATCCAGAACTTTGCCCCAGGTTACTAAAAGGCAGAGCCAGCTTTCAGGTCATGGTCTAATCTGAGTTGAAAGCCCATGCTCTGGCCACAGTAATCCACTAGTCTACACTATACTAAAACTCCTTGAACTGGAATCCGGAGCTTCTGTCCTGTAAGACCTAGATTCATGTTCTCTCTATTAGATGAGGGCCTATCTAAGAACTCAGAAGCTCACTCCAGGTTGGGAATAGTAGAGCCCAGAGAAATGATGAACTCAGAGACTCAACTTAGTTCCACTCCTGAGGAAGTAGGTACTCTTCGCGGAGCGTGAGTTTGTGAGGCTGTGTATCCTGTTTCTCCACATGCCCAGCAGATGCACCTCTCTAAGCCTTAGTTTTGTCTTTCAAAATGAGGATCACAATAGCTGCCTTATAGCCTTAGACACTTTGCTGTGTTTACCCAGTTAGGCAATATACCCAAGATCTTTAAGGCTCTAGTTCTGAGTAGGTGCTCATAAAGGTAGCTTTTGCTCTTACCACACTCCTTTGCTCTCACTACTGCATATCTCTGCTGATTCTTCTTGCCACTCCTGCCAATGAGTATTTTATGAACATAGGGTATCTATCATGACGTACCTGTAGGATCTATGGGAGAAACAAATGAACTGTAAGAATGCCAAAGGACTACCCCATATCTGGCACATGTCATAAAATTCACTAATGCTCATTGTGAGGGTAGAGGGGGTTAACTTTAGATATGCTCTGAGAGTCTCTTATGGGAGGTGCTGCCCAAGGACAAGCCAGTGACTTTGGAAACCCAAGTATTCTTCTTTTAAGGAATATTGTCCAAGGACTGTGTTCACCGGAGCACTGGAGATGGTTGTACACTGTTAAGCAGAGTGTTACATGGTTGGTGCATTTTCCAGGTCCTTTATGTCTCGTCCATTTCCTTCAGCGCACTCATTTTATCACTCAAAAGCTGTAACAAAGCAGAGAAAGAGGGGAAAGATGAAGTCTACTTGTCCTATTGCCCCATGGAGTTAGGAGGAGATTTTTGGCACATCTTTGACCTTTAATCACTTAGAACATCTCTGTGACTTTCATTAATAGTTGAAATTTAGAACTGTATGTTTATAGGGTCACATGATATAATATAGAAGATTTAAAAGTTGTAGAAAGCCTTAGAGTAATATTGTAAATAATTTTATTGCCTTATGGGTAACAATGATCTTTCCTTTATGATGTTCTTGGCCACAAATCTTTTTCTTACATATTTTTATGTAACTTTTTATTGACATCTTCATAAACAAGGTCTTCAAGTAGTGATGAGACTGCTTCCCAAATGAGAAATTCCCAAATCAGTAAAAGAGAAATAGCATTTCTGGTTTGACATAGGAAGCTAAACCAAAGTTAGAATGACCTTGTACATGAATTGACAAGTGTTAATTCCAAGTTACAAACTTATGTAATGAAAGATATCTCTTTGCCATTTCTTTTTCTTTTCCTCCTTTTTCTGATGCTCCTATGTCCAAATTCACATGGCAGAACTATTTTCGAGACACCTGGAATATCTTTGACTTTATCACCGTGATTGGCAGTATCACAGAAATCATTCTGACAGACAGCAAGGTGAGTGGCTTAGACATCCTTGTCTTTTTTTTTTTTTTAATTATGTTTTATTTATTTCTGAGGGAGAGAGATTGAGAGAGAGAGAGCATGAGCAGGGAAGGGTCAGAGAGAGAGGGAGACACAGAATCTGAAACAGGCTCCAGGCTCTGAGCTACCTGTCAGCATAGAGCCTGACGTGGGGCTCGAAGCCACAAACCGTGAGATCATGACCTGAGCTGAAGTCGGACACTTAACCGACTGAGCCACCCAGGTGCTCCCAGACATTCTTGTCTTTAAGCTTGGCCCTGGAATAGCATAAAAAAATCCTCTGTGCACATAGCCCATTTTTAACTCATCCAGCCAAATGTGTAGCCCTCTCAGTGTTAGGAGTTCGTTTCCTCACTCCCCAAGCATCAGCCAGAAAATGCAAACGTTGGAGGGACACTGGATCTCATGGAAGGTTTTGTTTCATTTGCATGACTCACATAGCAGCTACCTGATGGGGTGAGTGCAATAGAGCGTACCAGGAGAGGGCTCATGTACAGTGTCCTGTTGGGTTCTTCAGGAGGCACAAGAGAGGCATACTATCCTTGCCATCATAGTTGTTAGACCGGAATTATTTATCCTAAAGAAGACTTGGAGGGCTCATCATAACTGTTTGAATGTTGACATGGCCCTCATATGTCCTGGAGGGGTTATTAGGTCTGTTCTTGGGCATCTAAGTGCAGTGAGGACCACTAGGGCCACTTAGAAGATGAAGGAGGCTAGTTTTGTCTGATCTACACAAGGCACTCTTCTTGGGTCCTATGCATACCCTTCTACCTGGGACTAGAGGGCGGGCCTGGGAAGGCTTAGAGAGATGGTCCTCACTGGCCCATCACTTGAAGATGGGGTTGAAAACAAGACAAGAGTCTGTGTCCAATTCTGTGATCTGAATGAGGGATACATATGCAAATGCTAGTGCTTAGTTTTTGCTAAATGACTATAATGTCACTAATTATATGCTTCCTTTTGGTCCACCAGCTGGTGAACACCAGTGGCTTCAATATGAGCTTTCTGAAGCTGTTCCGAGCTGCCCGTCTCATCAAGCTTCTACGTCAGGGCTATACCATCCGTATTTTACTTTGGACCTTTGTACAGTCCTTTAAGGTAAGCGGCACCAGATCGTCCTCTCTTTCTTATCATACAGCACAGCCGGGCCACACAGTGTCATTACACTGGTCCCTTCACTTCTAGGAATGAGTGTCAGAAGCATTAGATAAATACAGCAGTGCTTAGTTATAATGCAGCTCAGCCAGGCAGCAGGCAGCTTGTGTTCCACTGGAGAGAGTCTCATTCTAGAAAAACACCTCCACATTATAACTCATTTCCCTTCTTTGTTCACTGAGGCCTGTTTTATGACGTATGTTTCCTCCCCAGGTATCCCAAAATGCCCCCAAGCAATCATGTCCATGTAGAGAGCCAGACACCTGTAGTTGAGCATCTTCTGCATTTTCAGGGACTTGCCAGTGGTTTTATGTCACATTAACAGTATTTCAAAGGACTCCTTGAGTTGTGTTTGATTGCAAGATGACTCATACAGTCCCATCCGTGCCTTCATCGGTGTGTTTCCTGAACCACCGAATGGTAGCATGCTAATGGCCACCTCTGTGTCTTACTGTCAGATAGGATGCTTGGGCAAGGTTAATGCAGTGAGCTTCTTTAAATGGTCTCCAGAGGGTGTACAGAGGGAATAATAATGGTCTCAAGGGGGTGTAATAAATGAAGTTTAAAAGATACCTGAAACCCACTTTAATGACAGAAACTTCCTGTTAAAGAAGTTTTCCAAACATATTTAAATGTCTGCAGACAGTAGCAGATATCATAGTTTGTTTTTAAGACTTTGGGAGTCTAAGTGCTGCTCAAATGCCTACTATTTCCTCTTATTAAAAAAAGCTTTTGGGGCTACCTGGGTGGCTCAGCTGGTTACGTGTCCATCTCTTGATTTTGGCTCAGTCATGATTTTATGGTCATGAGATTAAGCCGCATGTTGAATCCTGAGACAGGCTCCATGCTGGCCATGAAGCCTGCTTAAGATTCTTTCTCTCCCTCTTCCTCTGCTCCTCCCCACTCATGTATGCTCGCTCCCTCTCTCTCTATTAAAAAAAAAAAAAAAAAAGCTTTTCAATGAATGTGCTTTAAAAATAAATTTGATGAAGTTGATTCAAAGATGAGAAATCATGAATTTACTAAATTACCTCCTTTGTTTTAATTGTTTATGTATTTTAATTGAACCAAAGAGAGTAAGCCAGCGAATTCAGTGGTTTCCTCATCCTTTGGAAAGTGTGTACCCTACACCATCATTATTGACTTATTCTCCATTGAGATCCTGTGTGTTTGATATATGAAAACAGTTGTAAGGATGTTCAGGCCCCTACAAGCATCCTTGACATTTTTATCATATCCAGAGTAGTTGTTTGGTGCCATAACTCCCACAGAGGCCTCACCTCAATGGAAAGAATTTTTCCAAGGCCGCACAACAGAGGAGAAATCTGAAACCTTAGCAAGAAATTACTGAGTCTCAGGTGAATTTAGATTTAGAATCTGATACACAAGACACTCTTAAAACCTTTTTGTTAGAGACCTTTCGAACAAGTTACAGTTAGTGAGTCTCTCAAGAAATATGTGTCAGTCTGTCATATTATCACGCTTGCCAGTTCTCTGTAAAACTGCATACTGTTGAGGGCAAAGAAAAGCATGTCAAAAACCGATGACCAAATGGTTGTCTTATTGCAGTGATTATAGAACAGTGATGACAAGGTGAATCAGCCTCCAGGTGACACTGTGATGGATAGGTGTTTCCTTTTAGGAGCAGTCCCAGGACACAGTATAGAATTGTTCCCTGGAAGTCAGCCTAACAAAGCTGCCTCTGCAAACACACAGCAAGGAGCCACACAATATAAACTGCCGGGGAGACCATGGCCTACCCAAGCCGCGCCCCTCCCCAGCCGTGAGCATAGCCCAGTTCTCCAACCACTGACTCCTACTTCGTTCTTCCCTCTTTATCCTTATTTTGAGTTAGAATTCGTAACATGATAAGAAAGGAGATCAGAATGAATCTTTGCTCTTCTCCCAAAAGCTGGGGGGATAGGGAGAAGTGAGCTAGGGACTGGAGACTGCGGAGTGTAGAAGGTAGAGTAAGGGCAGAAAGTAAGCAGAAGGTGAGAGAAGGTAGCAGCAGGTCAAGGGGTAGAAACCTGCCTTTCTGTCCCCTCCTTTCACCAGAGGAGTCTTCACATGGCCCTTTGAAAGGCAGCCATTTCTCTTCACAGATCCTGGGAGTCAGCACCTCACTAGAGCGGGATTCTCTTCACAACTTGGTTGCATTTTAATTTTACCTTTTATTCTAAAGTCTATTCTAAAAGTCTCCGAAGGCTCTTCATTTAGTTAGCTCTCTTGATAAGTACTGCCCTGCCCCTGCAGTCTGAAAGCCTTCAACAGGTCTCCTGGGATTCGCACTGCACACGCTCAGGATAGAGTGGAGACTCCTAGCTGCACGGTCCTCCAGGAAGCTTCCTGAATGGTAAAGGAGAGAGACTTCCGTGTCAGCACAGAGATCACCCCCAAATCATAGAGCCCTCCCTGGCCCCCAAACCAAACTGCCCTACATGCTCCCCCAGCCACTTCTCTGTAGGTAGGCAGTTACCTACCTCACATTCCTTTCATTTGCCCCCTTCACCCCTATAGTTGAAATGTTATCATCACACAGTGGCAGTTAGCTTGCATGATAATGGAATTTTGTGCTGCATGGCTTCATGGTGGGGTTTTGCAGTGGCTAACACTTTTGAGGCTTTTTGGAATTTTGCATGATACAGAGTGAAGTGTCAGGAGGCTTAAACTTTGGGAAAAGATGTTTTATCAGAAGATGAAGGGGTCTTCTAGGAACTGATGAACAACTGAGAGCCTTAGCCAGTTTCTTTGCTTCCAGATTCTCTGTTATGGGCTTGGCATTGAGTGAGGGAGTGGAAAGGGGTAACAGGTATTTGGGGGCCAAAGCTAGGTGCTTTCTATTAATTTGCATCACAACTGGGGCGCCTGGGTGGCTTAGTCGGTTAAGCGTCCGACTTTCGCTTAGGTCATGATCTCGTGGTTCGTGAGTTCGAGCCCCGCGTCGGGCTTTGTGCTGACTGCCAGCCCAGAGCCTGGAGCCTGTTTCAGTCTGTGACTCCCTCTCTCTCTGACCCTCCCCTGCTTATGCTGTCTCTCTCTCCTAGAAATAAATTAAAAAAAAACATTAAAAAAAATTTTTTAAAAATTTGCATCACAACTGCCTGGGTTATTAATATTCTGCATGCAAAGTGGGATTCATTCCTGGAAGTTTCCCCAGATCTCCTTGGAGATCTGGGCCACACTTCTGGGTGAATGAATATTCTTGAGGAAGGGGAATGACAAGTCTCTCGATAGACACTAGCTTGCATATTTGTCAGAGGACATGGACATCTACAAAAGTATGGTACTCCGAATCAGAATAGCCCCAGGGAACAGAGTCCCAGCCCTGCATTTAAATCAGCTTCAGGGCAAGAATTCTAGTGCTGCCTGTAACTGTGGGTGAAGCCTGTGAGCTGCTTCTCTTTGAATTCATGGCCCTGTCTCTGCTTTCTTTCCAGGCCCTTCCCTATGTCTGCCTTTTGATTGCCATGCTTTTCTTCATCTATGCCATCATTGGGATGCAGGTGAGCTTATATATTGGGACCTGGTTGGGGACAGTTCTTGCCCAGATTGTCACTGGCTCACCAGCCTGAGCATCCAAGATGGAGGCCACTTTGAGCCCCTTGTTGCCCAAGGCATGCTCCCAAGATCTTCTTGCAGTGTCACCTTGGGAATTTTACATATGCACGGTCCCCCACTCAGGTTGCCAGGGGATTTGGAGTGGTCTGGTACACGGGTTTCCTCTGAGGTTATCAGATCATGGTGCCAACTTACAAGTAGCGGGACTTCTGTGGACACAACAGCAGGACTAAAGCAAAGGTGACCCTATTGTTCTCAGCCAGAGAAGTTCCCTGTGAGACCAAGGAGGGGGTAAGGCCCATGATGATCCATTTCTCAGCATCTCCTGTATTTGAGCCAGACCTGAAAGAGGGTCAGATGGTTGTTCCCTTGTATACAGCAACACAGAATATATCTGAGTTAAGTCTTGAATGGCTGAGATTTATGCCCTAAGACCCACCACTGGGAACAACTCAAAGGGATCCTAGCAGCCTGCCTAATCCTAGGGACACCCAAGGGCCATGTGCCTGCTGATTCCTCTTGAAAGGCTATGCAGCTTCCTGGATAGCTCTCTTGGGTTACCACATCCTTCCCAGGTGCAGAGTTGAGAAGTGGATCAGGCTCCCACCCTAGATATTTATGCAGGTACCCACTGGGCGGGAGATGCCATAAGCTCTTTCTCAAGTGACTGTCATTTGTGGCAGGTGGACTCCTACTGTAAACATTCAGCGACACATCCCACCAACCTATCCAGCTGGATACACTGGACTGTCTGTCTGCTTATTTCAGAGAGGCTAACTTTCTGACTTGAGGATGTTGAGACTAAACCCTAGCGTGGAAATTCAGCCAAGTGGCAGTCTCCTGCAGTCAGGCAGTCTGTCTGCCTTTGGACTGCCAGCTGCCTTCTCCATAGTGCCCACCATCTGGAGCCACTGCACACACCTCCCCTGCTTGCTGTGTCAGCAGCCTTTTGCCACAGCGTCTCTGAAATGTCTCTCCTTTATGTTCCTCTCTCTTGCATGCACTCCTTAATTTTGTTCATCTCCTAACTGCGTTACTGGAGAGAGTTTTGTTCTCCCAGAGTACGATAGAATGTCAAGTGTCAAAAAGTGTGAAACTTGATTGAGAAGTAGGGAGTTCTCCTTTAATGAAGATATTTCGGTAGAAATGCCATGATGGTGTCAGGGCTGTGCTGTAAGCAGAATCCCTACTGAAATTTACAATTAGCTTGATGATGCCTATGAAGTCCCTCCTGACTCTCAAATATTTGATTCCAGAATTCAATGTTCTTGAACAGCCAAACGAAACTTACATTTTTGCCCATGCTTAAAATAACTCTTACCTCCTTTTCATCTTCAATCAAAATAAACTAGAGTAACACCATCTCTAGTACTAAACTATTAGCGTTTTGGCTCACAATGATCATAATGCTGTTTACCATTACTTGAATTCCTGAGTGTGCCAAACGCTGTCCTCAATGTCTGCTCTCACCCCATTCTTCTTCCCTGTCTGCAGGCACACACACGGCACATGACTAATGTATTCAAAAGTGAGGCGAAAATGTTTATGGGTGGGTTTCATTTCTCCATTGACGCTTAACATGGTTAAGTAACTTATAACATGCTCAAGGCCTCAGTAAGTGGGAGAGCTGAGATTTAAACTCAGCTCTGTCTGCTCTACAACCCATATTCTCAGTGTACTACATGTTCTCTCTCCTCCCACCAACAAGCAAATACAAGTATTTCTTTGACCCATTAGTGGGAGGCGGGAGCTGTTCAGTCATGAAACTGTGATATTTACAATAACTGCAATGTCTAATATTTTATTGCCCTTAGACTTCTTTCCAAAAAATAAGAGCACCATTTCCATTACACGGGGACACAAATGGCTTTCCCACTGTGACTTGCCTTTAGAGAGCCATCCTTCTCCTGGTCCATGATAGAAACCCCACACCATGCACAATGCAGACACATAGCTTGTGGCTAGAGAAACTGTAGCTGGTATAGTCATAACGAAGCAGAGGGAGCCATCCAAAGAGAAAGGCACAAAGGCAGGAGACCAGTATCGGTAAAATCAATAGGAGCAGGATGAATCTATGAGAAGAACTATTATTCTGAACTTTCACGGGCATCTTGGAAGAAGAGAACGTTGCAGAGAAACCTGAAGAGGGAAGGAGGGAGTCACTTGCTGGGTGTGGGAAACAGTCCAGGGGCCACAGATCATTAGGAGGTGAGGCTTTCAGCCTCAGCTCCTCCACTGACCTGCTGTACAAACTCGGTCAAGTCACTGAACCTCTCTGGGCCTTAACACCCTCACCAGTACAATAGAGGAGTTGGATAGATGTCTTTACAGGTCCTTTTGTGTTCTAAAGTTCTGTGATTCCAAGTGAAAGTAGATTTAAGCCTGTACCTCTGTTAAGTTTTCCAGTGGGTCTCAGTGTTCCTTCTTTCTCTTTCATACTCTTTTGGTGTAAGAGATTTTTGTCTGGGACAAGAACTAAGTGAAAAGCTAAAAAAAAAAAAAAAAAAAGTGGGATTTTAAAAATTGCCTTCATGATAAATATGTATTGATACAGTTTTGGCTTGAAAACTATCATAGATTCAAAACAGCTTCAATTTCTTTGACTGTTACACACATACCTCATGCAAAATCACAGCGTGCCCTCCAGCTGGTTGATAGCTGGATAAGGTATTTGAGAAAATCATAATGAGGACCATTAATGGTGGCTTCAGGACTGTCATGGTAGGACGTAACACTGTAAGTTGTGTGGATGGTGATGTGATAAATTGCAGATGTTGGATCAAGGGGGTGAAAAGGAGAGAAGGTAATGTGAACACAGGTAAGGATGTATGACAGTTTCTTCCTGGGGTGCCTGGAACTAAATGTGGTTGTTGGGGATTTTTTTCAGTGCTACTATTTGTCTGTTTGTGGGTCCTCCACCCTCTTTATCTTCCTCCTTCCTTTCTTCCCCTGTGCTGCCTACCTTGCCACTTCCGTTCTCCCTGAGAGACAAGTAGTATTTGGGTTTTGAAAAACAGTGTTGAGAACAAATTTCCAAAGCAGGTGTCAGTGGGAGTTACTTGAGTAAAATAGCTGGGGGCAGAGATTGTTCCTCAATTGCACATTCTAAAAACTGTTCAGGGGAAAAATGTGTTCCATTTAGCATATGTTAGATAAACTGAAGTATGTTAAATATAGGCCGGAGATTGTCTCAAATGGCTGGAAAAGTGACCTGTAAGCCTTCGGTTGTACCGACGTTGACTTGTGAGAGTAGGTCCTGATACCTGAAATATGGTTGGGAGGAAAGGGCAGGTGGAAGGGTATCCTTCTCATCTGAAGAGACGTAGGGTCTCAGCATTCAACATTATTCACTGTCCGTGGATAAAGATCTCTGAGCTTTCCCTTCTTTTTTTCTTTCATGTGAATTTGCAGGGTGACCACCTTCTGAGCTCAGTGACCAAAAGCAGATTAGTAAACTCATTCGATAGCCAGATCTGCCCCAATTCATTTTGTTTCTCCTTTTCTGAGTATCCAGTTGTCCTTACTTTCTTCATCCTATTGGCCTGGACTTTGCTTTGTGTGCATTCATTCTCACAGACTCTAGATTATAGATGTATTGACTTTCTGAAATTTGACTCTCCGAATGCGCACATATCCAAGGAAGATAGAGTTACCCCTCTGCTTGCAAATTCCAGGGCAGCATCTGCCCAAGCTGTCAATCACATCTTCTGCAGATATACATATTCCCGTCATCACTACCTGAGACAGGAAGAGAGGGGTAGCTCCTTCCCTGCACTTCTCTTATGGGGTATGTCTGATGTATTGCCTGAGTACCATGGTGACAGGTACCATGGAAATAAAAAGACCAAATTACGTGTGGGAGGAACTACGTACAGGCAGAGTGACTTCAGAAAGATCTTGCCTTCTATGGTCTTTGGTCCTCTCTGCTGCAGAAGAATATACTTACTTGTTCATATCCAGCCAGGAGCATGGGATCCATCAGCCTGTCTGGGTTTGAGTTGTCTGCCTCAGGCTTAGGCCATTGGGAAAGGCCATGCATATGGATTTGCCAACCCTGTTAGATGAGGTGCATCTGACATGTGCAGGCCATGTCACACAGTTCAGTAATGCTCTTTGTTTTTTGTTGTTTTTCTTTCTAAGGTATTTGGAAACATAAAATTAGATGAGGAGAGTCACATCAACCGGCACAACAACTTCCGGAGTTTCTTTGGGTCCCTCATGTTACTCTTCAGGTACCTGGATGCGTAACCCTTATAGTTGCAGCTCCCTTGTCAAGGGAGACAGAGTTCTTCTGCCTTTTCCTCCTGTTTGTCTCCTTGTTCTGGTCCCATTAGACTGTACAGTAGAGTAGAGGTAGGGGTGGAGAGGTACAGTGCCTCTGAAAAACTCTTCTGATGACAAGACAAAGTTTCCTCGACATCTTTGACTCAGAGGTTAATTTGTAAATTGCAAGTTCCGAACACGTGCACCAGGACTCTGAGTAGGGAAGGTGAGGACAGTTTCCTATGGACCAAATTCCATTTAAGGGCCAAAACCCTGGATGGCCAGGTTTATGTGGGGTCCTAGAGAGTCCCCTCACTATCTCTACCACTATCAGCAGAGACTCCTGAAAAGACAGAGAAGCAGTGGGTGAGGTGACAGAGCCCACGAGAGACCTCCTTGGCTCTCTCCTCTGGATAGAAAGTACTGGAGGGAGGCTAACTGGTCACCAAAGGAACCTGCTGAGAAGAGAAAGTGGTGGGTAAGTTGGGAAAGAGGGCCAAGGAGAGGATGAGATGCGCAGGACTGATCCTACTAACCAAACTCTCTTTTGGGCTCAGGAGTGCCACAGGTGAGGCCTGGCAGGAGATAATGCTGTCGTGCCTTGGGGAGAAAGGCTGTGAGCCCGACACCACCGCACCATCAGGGCAGAACGAGAATGAGCGCTGTGGCACTGACCTGGCCTATGTTTACTTCGTCTCTTTCATCTTCTTCTGCTCCTTCTTGGTGAGGAAACCCTGTGCTTTTGTCTTGAGATGTGGCCCACACCACCATATCCTGCTCCATCCTCCAAGGAACTCTTTTTTAAGTTTATTTATTTTGAAAGAGAGAGAAAGAGAGGGAGCAGGGGAGGAGCAGAGAGAGAGGAGAAAGAGAGAATCCCAAGTAGACTCCGCACTGTCAAGTACAGAGCCCGATGCAGGCTTAAACTGATGAACTGTGAGATCGTAACTTGAGCCGAGATCAAGAGTTGGATGCTCAACCAACTGAGCCACCCAGGTCCCCTTCCAAGGAGCTCTTAAAGGCCAGGATGCGTAGCAGACTCCTGGGTGGGTGACTCTCCATGGCTGACCCTGGACAGTTCTTGCTGCTTCTAGGGAAGGATTGCCGTGAGAAGAAACAAGTGGAGTGGAGTTTAGGGAATATTGAGCTTCATGTCGAACCTGTTGTGACTCAGAGTAAACCTCTCTTCTCTATACTTCAGGTATTTTATCTTACAGGGAGGACTAAGAATATCTTATCTCTTGGAGACTTTCAAAAGAGAAATGGTATCTTAGAAATATAAAGTGATAGCATTAATAAGCGCAGAGCGATGACAATATACAGTGTAATAGATGTGGTCTCTCTTCTGTCATTATGTTTAATGACAGTTGGCCGGCTTAGAGACATGAAAGGACATGATTGCTTTGGGCTTTAGTAAATATTAAGTGATATATGTGGAGCATACCCACTTTGAAAATGGTGAGAAGCCCTAGATGCCTCCGTAATAACCTTTGGGAGAAAGCATGAATCGGCACTCCAGCATCCAGACATCCCTACCCTGCACTGTCATGGACAGGGTACTGCCAGATCAATTAAAGGGTCAGTCTGATGCTTCTGGCCATGCTGACATCCCTCAGCTTGGCCTCACTGGCTGTACAAGCCTAAAACTAAGGCCATACCTTAGAAAGACGTTAGAAAGACGGTTAGTTTCACAGCCATGCAGGAGTGACTTACCTCGTGTCCAGGCATTTCTACTTCCCTAAAGTGATCATGAGGGGATTCGCCACATGTCCAGCTCTCTGGTGTGGAAAAGTGGCTTGCAGGCAGACTCTGGAGGGTGGTCGGCAGGTTAACATAGCAGGGAGTGAGTCAACTAGAGACTTGGGGAGTCTGCCTTGTGGTCTTGGCTTTGTTGCTGTTCTAGAGCGGTCAGAACACTGTCCCTTTTGTAGCTTCTGTAAATGGCAGGAAAAATGACTTGAAAATAAAGGTATTTGCATGGTGAGCGGGTATTTCCTCTTGTGGGTGTGAAAGGTTTTCAATGAAAAAAAGAACACAAAGCAGTGTCTTAGAGGCACTGGGGAGAATCCGTGAGTGGGTTACAGTCGCTCTGTCAACCAGCGTTCAAGGGAGAAAGGCATACGGGGTTCCCAGTGCTTGTTGATGGGGCTGCTGTAGGGGTGATGTGGAGCAGGTAGAAGGGCATGTGGACATCTCAGCTTTATCCTACATGGTGTAAGTGTTTAATAATAAATATTTAAAAGAAACCAAGATATAACTAGAAAATTAATTAGAGACTATAAAGGTACTTAGAATTTTGAGATGGAGGGTGCTGCATAATTCACATTAATGTTATTTTTAAAGAGGCTATATTCAGTATGAGATGATCTGCTTTCAAATCTCAGCTCCACAAGAGACTGACTTTGTGACCTTGGGCAAGTCACACAGCTTCTTAACTCAAACCAACCACTCTAGACTTACTGATTCGCTATGATGTGCCAGGCTGTGTGCTTGGAGGCAAGAATACATGTGTGTCTAGGAAAGCACTGTGTCCTCGAAGGGCTGATGATAATTAAGCCTGCCTCACAAGGTGAGAGAAGCATTAAAACAAAGAATAGGTGTGAGTGAGCACACCACACTATAAAAGACTATACAAATATAAAGCAATGATAATACTGTTTTATTAACATTAATACTAAGTACCTTGAAAGGAGTATAAAATAAATGTGTGGATATTTGGAAACCGCTTTAGAACCCAGGTAGTGATTGAATATATATATTCACTGTGGCTTAGCGACAGAAAGAAAGGCCCAGCCCATACTAGGATTAGGTTCAGCTTTCATGAGAAGGAACTCCCCGAATAATAGCAGCTTAACCAAAAGAGATGTTCATTTTCCTCACACACCAGTGAAGACTGGAGGAAGGCAGTACAGACTAGTTACAGTCATTCCACAGAGTGGTTGGCACCCCGGACCTCACCTGCAGAGGCTAGACCGCTAGACATCCACTTACATTCTAAGCAGCGGGACAGAGGAAAATGAAGGAAGGCAGGCAGGAATGAGACCGGTTGTTAGGAAGCAGCCAGCAGTCTCTCTCTCTTGCGGAGAAGACTCCAACCACATCCTGTCTCCAGACTTTGTCTTTATCTTCTCTGCTGTCTGCATATCTGGCACCTCCACCCACCTGGCCACTTCACCTGGGAATCAACAGAGATGCAATTCTCTCGCCCCCTCAGCCAGTTCTCTCTCTCTCAGGCAGGACTCTCTCACTCGCGAATGGAAGAATGCCTAACTACCATCTGGCCTAAGCAAAAAGGGATTTTATAGGCATATGTAAATGAAGAGTCTTGGGGCATGAGAGGCATAAGCAGGCCTGATCTGGCCCTCAGGTGACATCACCGGGACTAGGTCTCTTTATTCATGGATCTCTTCCTCTAGGCTCCTCCATGTGAGCTCTTTTCTCTCTGGGGGTCCAGCCTGGGGCTCCAAGGTGTCTGTAGCGGCAGCTCTAGACTCCAGTCCTCACACATTCTCGACTCACAGGGAAGAACAAGTCTGTTGCCCAGAAGGTTCTATGCCATTTTATTGGCCTTGATTGGATCACCAATCACTGTGGCCCAGGAAAATGGGATTCAGTGACTGACTGAGACCTGGGTCATAGGTGGTACCCCATTGAACCATATTAACTGCGAATAGGCGGGTGGGGGGAGGGAGACCTCAAGAGACCAGGTGTACAGTAAATGAATTCTAGGCAGCCAAGAAGCAACAAAACAGTGCTATTCAGTGTGGTCTAGTTCTGTCAGTGCCATGTCCTGCAATTTTGTCTACACTACTGTCCTGCTACTGGCTTATTCAGGAGCACCACAAAACTCTCCCCACACATCTCCCTGCTGCCAAGGGTTCCTTCTGGATAAAATAGATATATCTAGGTCTTCTCCTAGTTTAAACCCCTCTAGTGGATTCTGTTGCCTACCGTAAAACCTAGACCGGAAATGGGGAAACTAGAGCCAATGGGCCAAATCCGGTTTGCCGCCTCGTTTTGTAAGGCCCACAAGCTAGTGGTTTTTACATTCTTAAATGGTTAAGGAAAAAAATCAAAAGATGGATAATATTTCGTGAACTGGAAATTATATGAAATTCACATTCATACTCCTTTCTGATCCCATTGTAACCTGTGTATACTTCTTAAACGGCTCTTAAAAACCTTTATAGCTTTTGTATGGTCCTCATACATCACAGTCCCTGCTAAATACTAAGTCTTTAACAATATTCAAGGAACAGAGGTGCCTGGGTGTCTCAGTCGGTTAAGTGTCCTACCTCGGCTCAGGTCATGATCTCGCAGTTCCTGGGTTCGAGCCCCACGTCAGGCTCTGTGCTGACAGCTAGCTCAGAGCCTGGAGCCAGTTTCAGATTCTGCTGCTCCCTATCTCTCTGACCCTCCCCTGCTCACGCTGTCTCTCTCTCAGAAATAAATAAAACATTTTTTAAAAATTAAAAAACAATATTCAAGGAATAGGTGAAAGCCTGCTTTGTTTCTGGCAATGTGCTAGGCATAGGAATGTACTCTGGACAAAACTTTCTTATTTCTCATCCTTAGCACCTGGGTCTCTGCAGCTCAGCAGGTGCATAATAAATGCTGTGCAAATGTTATGCAAATAAGTAAGACAACAGGGTCTTGGAAGCCACTTTAGGCCATGAGCGGCTTCCAGGTCCTCACACAGTAAGCCACACAGTCAGCTCTAAGACATCTTACCATTTCTTTTGTTGGCTTCTTTTGTGGAGCAGGGCTGGGGGTTGGGGAGGCTAGAAGGGAGGGTCCGTGTCAGACCTTGACTTTGAGAATGTTGTTGCTGTTGCTGCTCCCTCTGCTGCAATACAAATTAATTGGACAGACAATAAAGGGACTTTTTGTGGGGTTCTTTCCAAATATAAAGTGCCATTGAAGAGTGAAATAATAATGCTCACACAATGGAATGTGTGGAAATTATAATGAAAGCATGTTGCAGTCAGCAGGATCAGCAGGGCTTTAGTTAGGAACTTTGGCCTCACCCACTTTCGAACTCTTTATTTTCCTTGAAGCCGGTCTTACTGTGTTAGGTTTGCCCTACCTAACTCTTCTTCTCCCCCATGCCCTCCAGATGCTCAACCTGTTCGTGGCCGTCATCATGGACAACTTTGAGTACCTGACTCGGGACTCGTCCATCCTAGGGCCTCACCACTTGGATGAGTTTGTACGCGTCTGGGCAGAATATGACAGAGCCGCATGGTGCGTAGGCCTCTGGGCCATCCCAGTGGGGCCCATATCAAGGGCCTCTGGAGTTCCCCAGAAAGGGGTCGAAACCAGAGCCACCTAAACGCCTGCCTGTTACAGAAGGAGAGGAGGTTCCTCTCAGTTTGGCCTGTTGAAGAGCCCAGGCCCTCAGATTGGCTCTGGTATCCAGCCAGTCATCAAAAACATAGCTTCTTTATCTTCCTTTTCCCTCTCATTCCTTCTGGGACAGGCTTTCCTTTTCTTTGCCAATCCCATCAGTCTGCACCTCAGAGTGTTTGGTTTCAGTCACCAAAGGGGCTTCCAGTAATCTTTTTTTGTTTTCCCCTTCCAATGCCTGGTGCACTCCTTTGAGTCACTGGAGCGCGGAGAGGGGTGGGTTGACAGGTTTTTTGGGCCAGAGGAACATCTGGCCATCACAGTAAGTGACATTAGCATTTTCTCTCTCTCATCCTTTTTGAAAGACAGTTTGAGATGACTGAAATTATGTAAAAAAAAATGAGCAAGTCGTTCTTCCAACTGACCGCCTAAACACTTGAGGATTTGTACTGCACAGAATTGAATTAAATGGCAGGAATTTGCGTGAATAACCTCCCCCCGATTTCTTTCTCTGTCCAATATTTCTCAAAGGATGTGCCTTCTGGGCTTCAGAGCAGGGGTTGGCAGACTTCAGCTTCAGGGCTAAACATGGTCCACTGCCTGTTTTTGTACGTAAAGCTTTATTAGAACACAGCCACATCCACTCATTTCTGTATCGTCTGCGGCAGCTTTCACACTATAGGGAAGCATTGTATAGTTGTGACAAAGACAGTGTGACCCTCAAAATAAAAAGCATTACCTGACCCTTTACAGAATAAGTTTGCTGATCCCTGCTTTAGAGGACAGAAGTGGCATTTTGGCCCCTCATGGTTGAGGACAGGGTGACTGTTCTGTAAGAGTTTACTTCACAGGAACTTTTCTGTCCCACGTCATTTTAGTTCTAGGATCTTAGCTCACCGATCTACCCATTGTGGTCCCTCTCTGAAAACACTACCAGAAATACTGTCCTTCACAGGAATGGCCCATGTTGCTTCCACCTGGGACCCCTTCAGAATCTGAGACTCTTTCTAAAATCTGTCCTCCTGTGAGGCTGTTGAACTTGGGTCAAGCGGGAAGAGTGAATCAGAATTCCTTTTCCCCTCAGTAATTATTCATGACTTAGGGTCCAGAGTTCTCTAAATCCATTCCTATTACAATGGCTGAGCAATGGTTTTACTCTCTGGATCTGCTTCCTGGTAGATGGGCTGCTTAGAAAGCCATGGGTGGTGTGTTTGAGGGAATGTAGGCAGGGCTTGCATCAAATCAGCCCTGTGGCCTTGGACAAGTCATTTAACTACTCTAAGCTTCGTCATCTCTAAATGGTGATAATGATACCTGCCTGCTTTGAAGGGTGGTAGCATGGATTATATGAAATCATGTACGTAACTGTTGTTATAACTGACAATAACTACACAGGAAAGCAACCGGAAATTATGGAAAATTGATTTGTAAAGCATGGATGGCCATGAGATTGGGAACCTGAGAAGGGATGTCTTCACTCACCTAAGAGAACTGCTAGCAGAAAAGTTCATTGCTCACCTGGCCTCACTCAGGTGTCCTTAGATCTCTGAAACCCCAGCTTCCTGTGCTTCCCTATTATCTTGGGACCCAAATACCATGTGCATTAAATGTGCTCCTCCCCACTCATTCCAGCTGCTGGGAAGAAATGATTCCATGAGGACTAAAAAAAAAGTCATGAGACTCAGATACAGGAGCTGTGAGAGAGCAAAAATAGAATGGAGAATCTCTTCTGCTTTGAAATTCACAGCATCACATTCTGGTTAGAGTTTCATTGGCCTTCTTTTTGAGATGCAGGGGGAAGAGCTAACAGGGATAACGTGAGCCAATGTCTTCAAAAAGAAGACTGATACAGGATGCAGGGAACACCAGCTTATAGGCAGTACCAACCCACCCACATCCCAATCTCAGTAAGAAACAAAGAACAAATGGTTAAATGAACTTCCTCTCAAGAATCAAGAGACTTAAAGTACCGATGAGCTGCTATCTAGAAAAAGAGGAGGAATTAACACCAAAGTCAAGAAAAGGCTGGAAAGAGTAAAGCTGGGGCAGAGCCTCATGTGGCTGCTGACAAGGACTGGAGGCTCAGAGGTGGACACGTGTGTGCATCATTTCCAGTGGAGACCACGGTCCGTACTGGGATGTTGCTTCCTTGTTCTGGTCTCTGACAGAGCAGATGCTGTAGCTGCTGAAAATGAACCAGTTGTTGATTCTGTCCTTCTCATGGAAAGCCAGGACTCTAAGCAGGCCCCTGTGAAAGGAGGTTGGCGAGACAGGTCACATTGTTCCTGGAGTTCTGGCTGGGTCTGACCAGGCTGCCTACGGACTGGCTGGTGGGAGCAGAGCCGGAGGGGGGCGGGGTGGTGTCCACGGCTCCCTCCCAGGCCACTCTCCCAGCACAGATCCAGGTGAACTCCCACAGAGGGACGCAGAGCTTGCTCAAGCTGAACTCAATCTGCCACCGAGGGAAGCAAAGCCCTTTGCAAATTCCCTGGTGCCAGCTGAGCTCCTTGCTAATTAGCCTAATGGGAAATTTGTCTCTCGCAGTCTGCGGAAAGATGCTGACTTCCCACTGCCCCTGACAAGCAGGTCAGAGTAACGGAGTGTAATCGATGTCTGTGAAAAGCAAAAAGTTGGGCAGTCCTCTTCACGGCGGCCTGACATCTGCTCTTGACAGCTGTCAGAGGCGTTTGTGTGAACTCTCAGGCTGTGTTCTTCGAGACCTGGCCCGAGCCAAGGGTCCATTTTTCTGCATCGGGCCAAGTGTGGGCCAGACAGGTGTCCCGGGGTTCCCTTGGTCATTCGGCAGCCCCTCTGGGCACTGGACAGGTTCTGATTACCTTAGAAAGAGGGGGTGTTCAGCAAGGTGATGGTTCTCTGAGGCTCACTGCTCTCAGTCTCTCCTGGTCCGGTTTTACCAGGCCCGAGGGAAAAAGCTGCTCTTCCTCGTCCAGCCCTCAACATCATGGCTAAACTGGCATGTCTTTCCCACCCTTCTCTGAGTGTCTTATTAACCCACCTGTGCTTCCTTTACAGCGGCAGGATCCCGTATAAGGATATGTACAAATTAGTGCGGGTGATCTCGCCGCCTCTGGGCCTGGGAGAGAACTGCCCCTACAGGGTGGCTTGCAAGGTTTGCCTCCCAGTCCCCAGCCATGACCGGCGGTGGGGTGCAACTTCGAACCCGCCTCTCCGTTCCGCTCCACCACCACTGCGCCACATGAGGGAACCTTCATGTTGCTTTCCTTTGAGTTTAAAGAGGTCCGACCCCTTCCAGAACCAGCAGCTGTTACATAAGGAAGAAGGGCACATTCTGGGGGGAAGGCAGAAAAAAAGGCCTCAATATGGAAAGCCAATTTGACCTCTCTCACTTTTCTACACATGCACACACTCAGTCATGTGTGTACACACACACACTCACTCACTCACTCACTCACACTGTCTCTCTCCCTACTCCATCTTAATCTGTAGATTTCACCAGAAGGACCTCTCCTTCCTCCAGAGAATGCAGATGTCTTCACTGGTTTCCCTTCACTGGAGAACAGAGAACCTCCTTTTGGCAAAAATTAGCATCCTCCTCCCACAACTAATGTAGCAAAATGTGGTTCTAGTTGTCCGTACCTCTGCCCACCCTCCGGTCCCTGGATAGTTTGGCCGGAAGGGATTTTAAAAGCTCGAGGACAGAAAGGAGGTGAGAAACCATACCGAGTCAGGGCAGGAGGTGAGAGTGGCAAGAGAGGGTAGGCTTGGTGGTGTGTGGAAGAACGCAGTCGCTCAGGGGGTCTGCGAAGGTCTCTGTAGATAGCGGAGGCTCCTGACCGGATTTCTTGCCTTAGGGGTCTCTCTATATCATTGAGGGGGCCGAGGGGGTCTGTCATAACTGCCGCATCACTGCTTGTTTGTGAGACCAAGGACATTGTTCAGAGGCACGTAGGACCCCTTCTTCAACTGTGCCAGACCCAGGAACTGGAACAGGAGCGGCTTGGCCACGCCGCCACCCACGGCCACGCCTGCTAGCTCAGGAAGCCTCTCCCGGTGCTGCAGGAGAGAGGGGTGGGCTCTCCGGGCACAGCCTGCTCTGGCAGCTGGCAGAAGACGTAGGCCCAGGACGATGCCAGCCGGGGCAATGGGAAGGAGCTGACTTGGGGTGGTGACACAGTGATTCCTGTACTCGGGAGGCCAAACAGCTGCCTCTGCTGAGACTCTTTAAACTCCACCCCGGTGACACCTGCGGCCGCATGTGGGGAGAGCCGGGAGGGCAGCATGGCATGCGAGATGCTCCTCCTCCTCCTCCTGGTTTGGTCTCTTCTGTCCCCAGCATGCCATCGCCCCGGGGCATGCCGGGAGTAAAGAGCACTCCTCCCCGCAGAGCCAGGTGGAAGCAACAGCCGGCTCCGACTAGCAGTGCACCACTTCCAGTGCAAGTTGCCGCCTCCCGCTGCACACACACCACAGACGGGGATACACGATGTTCCGCCTGTGGGTTCAGAGGAGGAGACGGGCCTGCCACACAGGTCGGGGCCCCGTCCCAGCTGGGGCCAGAGATCCTAACCCGCGGCTGGAGCACCGTCTATCCGTTTTATACCGCTCGCACACAGCCCTGGGAATTGAAAACAGGCTTGTGTTGTATGGGGGGTGGAGAGAGTGAAGAGCGAAGTAGGTAATGAATGTGCACGAGGAGAAAACGAGTCCCCATGACTCCACAGCAGAGTCCCAGGGACCAAAGGGTTGCCATCAACGTTCCCGGGTCTGTGTGGGGCGTGATATAAATCCGCACCAGGATGGAGTCACATGTACGATTTGCCTTGATTAACAGGTTTCCTATTCTTTTTCTGTTTGTCCATTTTGTTTTGTTCCTCTTCTCCTGTTTTCTGTATTATTTTGTTTCGTTTGGCTCTCTGGGAATGCCTGTTCTCCCTTCCTCCTGGTCTGCATCCTTCTCCCCACTTCCTTTCCCTGCCCCCCCACCCCCACCCCATCCCCACTTACCACCCCTCCATGAGCAGTGGCCGCATCCATTACACTGAGATGTATGAAATGCTGACTCTCATGTCACCACCGCTAGGCCTCGGCAAGAGATGTCCCTCCAAAGTGGCATATAAGGTAGACCACCCCTTCCTTTGTTCTGGGCTAGAGACCAACAGGAGGGAAGGCGGGCTGGGGAGGTGGAGGAGGGAAGAAGGGGGAAAGAAATGATGAGGTCAAAGGGCAAGGAAGGTTCCTGGAAGTATGGAGTCCCGAAACAATACGCGGAATGGTTGGCGAGACTCTTCACCGTGGGGCTTTTTTGTGTTCTGCGTGCCTCCAAGCGTGTGGCTTCTCGTGAGCAGATTACTGGAAAGGAGGTGTTAAGTAGTGTGTTTGCTCAGAGGAGGCAGAGTGGTGGCCTGCAGGATAGCGTATATGGGCAAGAAGGAAGCCTACAGCAAAACTGCTATCAGAGCCTATAAAAAATTTTTTTCAATTAGATAAGCTAAGGAAATAATGCAGAAATTTGTCTAAACATGGTTCAAGAAATTTTTAGGAGAGAGGCAAACCCTTACCCAATTTCTTCTTCTTTGACATAGGAAGGAACTGTGGCATGGTTCCTTCCAGCTATCAGGACAAAAGAACATGACTTCTAGGGTGCATGATGAAGGATCCAGGCCCCTCCCCCCACCAGCCCAGCTGCCCGGTTCTCTTGTCAATACAAGGGAAAAGGTGACAATGAGCACAAGTTGCATTCAGCATTAGATTTGCATTATTGGCCTGACAGATTTGGGGGCTGGCCCTGGAGTTCCGCATAGATTCTCCATGGCCTGCTTAGAGCAGCAGCATACATTGGGAGTCACCTGCCATTAGGGTACTCAGAGCTTTGGGGCCTGATTTCTTTTTCTCCACCCATTAATAGTGACTGTGTGGTGTTTAGACTGACCCAGAACTCTGGAGCTCTTTCATCTAGGAATAATACCACAGCAATGTGGTCACTTCTCTAGAAGCTTAAGGAAGTGGGAGAGAGATGGAACTCAGATCCAAACAAGAAACTGACTTTACACTCTAAGACACCATGTCTGTGGAATCACATTAGGCCAGAGGTTCCAATGGAGCATTAGCGATCCTGCCTTGGGAAGAGACACGTCCCTCCCTGCGGGGCTGGTGGTTCTGCCAGAGGACCTGCTGCTGCTGCTGCCTCCAAGTTGCACAGCTCCAGAGAGCATCTCCCTGGAACAGGGCCCTTGAGGACCCAGTACATGGCTCTTCATGTGCAGCTTCTGGGCTGGCATCCTTTTTGCTCATGATGGCCACATCCAAAAGTACCAGGTGGTAGAATGTGGCATTGAGTTTTCTGAATGTCTGGGATGAAGCTTGGTGGGTGAAGGGGTGTGGGGACTAGAGGAAAAGTTAAAGGATTCCAAAAGCAGTATACTCTCTGGAAAGTGGATTTGGCCATTTCAGTTTGATCCCTTCCTTTGGGGGAGGGGAACAAGGCCTGCCCACTCTGCTCCTGCCTTGGTCACCCTTCTCGCATTCTCTCTCCTCTGCTGTCCCCAGCCTTCTTCCCCTGTACTCGGTTTGCACTCCCCTCCTTTTCCATCCTGCTCCACCTCATCCTCGGGATAAGTTGGACTTATGCATGTTTAATCATGTGCTGGCAAATTTCACGTTTTGAAGACTCAAAAAGGGGGGCATCAGGATGCATATTTCAACAGATAAGCAAAGCAAAATCTCCCCCATCACTATCTTTCCATGTGACTTTTGGGGGTATCCATGGGACAGGGGGAAAGAGAGAGCAGCCTTGCATCAGGGAATGGAGCCACCTCCCAGAGCTGACTCCTTTCTCTGAGCCACTTCTTTTAGAAATCACTTTCCATTTCTATTAAAGACATTCTTAGGACCACGGAGGAGTCCTAAAGAATGATTAGTCCCCCTTCCTTTGGAATTTGGCAACATTTTCTAGGGGGGAGAAAAACTAAACAGCAGCAAATGAGCCATAAGTGAGAAGCAGGGAGAGGAGGTGGGACCGGGGATGGGGAATCCTTGCCCTTCTTTTTTGTCTCTGCATTTGACCTCCACCTTTCTCTTCTCTTCTCACCAAGGTTTCTTTCGTTATTTTTTTTCCTCCTGCTCTTTCTTTTCTCTCTTTCACACAGAGGTTGGTCCTGATGAATATGCCAGTTGCAGAGGACATGACCGTCCACTTCACCTCCACACTCATGGCTCTGATAAGGACAGCCCTGGACATTAAAATCGCCAAAGGTAAGCCAGAGGGGGAAAATGGGATTCTGGGATAACTCACCCCAGGTGGCACAGGACAGAGATGTTTGAACTTGCATCCATCTGACAATGTTGTGATCTGGAAATCAACTCTCAGGGCCCTGGTTTCACCTCTGACCCAGTAACTGTAACGTCTGCCATTTCTTCCTGGAAAAAAATGACTGGTTTGATCGTCTCTAAGGCTCCTTTCAGCTCTACCAGTATGTGATCTTCATGTCTAGGACATAGTAGACATTCTAGAAGTATTTGCTTATTGAACAAATGAGTTTTAATTTTGGCCTTTTCTTCTTATGTGGCATCTCTAATGCTCTGGAAGGTTTGTGGCAGGTACCATCAGGCCAGTACTTTGCTCTTCTTGATCTCTGGTTCAGGGATTTTGAGAGAAAAGGCTTACTACTTCCAGATGGGTGTCCAGCCTTCCTGCTCTTGCCTGATCCTTCTTAAAATCAGGTCATTCAGACTATGGAGTCAGAGTCGCTGGAAGAACTGATGTATGTATAATGAGGCAGGGGAGGCTCCTTGTGGCTCTTTTCATTCTTTCCCTCTGATAGATTAAGCACCTGGGAGGTGTTTCAAATCAATAAGGAAGCTGATCTTGGTGTTGGGGCCTCAGATCTTTTTTAATTTTTTTTTTATGTTTTATTTATTTCTGAGAGAGATAGCGTGAGCAGGGGAGGGTCAGAGAGAGGGGGAGATACAGAATCCGAAACAGGCTCCAGACTCTGAGCTAGAGTCTGTCAGCACAGAGCCAGACGCGGGGCTCGAACCCACGAACTGTGAGATCATGACCTGAGCCGAAGTCGGATGCTTAACCGACTGAGCCACCCAGGTGCGGGGCCTCAGATCTTATGGATAGCCGAGTCACTAAAAATGGGAGCCAAAAATGTGTTCTGCCTCCTCAGCAGAAAGACCTGGTATTAGAAGATCCACTAAGTGCCAAGATTCCCTCTGAGAATATGAGGTGCCATGCTGATTCAGCTCCTACCCCCACCTACTCCCTCAGTACTTGTTATTTGTATGTCTTTTCTATTTATTGAAATTTATTTTATTCTAGGTGGTGCAGACAGGCAGCAGCTAGACTCAGAACTGCAAAAGGAGACCCTGGCCATCTGGCCTCACCTCTCCCAGAAGATGCTAGATCTGCTTGTGCCCATGCCCAAAGGTGTGGGGTCTCCTCCTGGGTAGTGTGGTCACTGTGAGCTCAGCATACCAAGGCCGCATCTTTTAGGGGAACCCTGAGTGATCAAGGAGATAAGGGAAGGTTGCTCTTTTACTTTTAGGACACCCAGATCTCCCACTTCTTAATTCCTTTTGCATGAATTGAAAACATTTTCTCAAGATAGGTCACTGTAGCTGTGGGTGAAACTTCCTGGGTGCATAGCTCTCTTCCTGCCCATAATGCTGTTCAGCAAACCCTTATGCAGGTGGGAATAGGGCGCCGTTACTTAGACATGGAAATCGAGACCGGTGGAGGGGATGCTTAGTCACATGTGGTTTCTCATCAGTATCCCTCCTCTCATTGGGTAGTTGTGGAAGCTCCCTGTGGATAGATATGGGACCGAGTCACTTTGTATCCTCAGGTGCATGTGGAGCTCTCAATCGATGCTGGCTAGGTGGGTGGCTGAGGGAGCAAACCTGACCAAGAGAATGGGGAAGCTTGTGAAGTATCCTCACTCTCTGCCACCTGTCTTCTCCCCATTCCCTTCCATGCCACATTTGTGATTTTAGCCTCTGAACTGACTGTGGGCAAAATCTATGCAGCAATGATGATCATGGACTACTATAAGCAGAGTAAGGTGAAGAAGCAGAGGCAGCAGCTGGAGGAACAGGTGAGGGTCAATGCCAGCATGGGAGGTGGGTGGGCCATGAGGAGTCACAGGACGGGCCTGGGCGTGGCTGGGGCACGGTGCCCTGCAAGTACTTAGAAGCGGACCTAGGGGTGCAGGGGCCAGGAACTTTCTAGTGTTGGGGAGACCGGAGCAGGTCTGATACTCTGATCCACTGGGTTTCTAATCCCCAAGTCAATTGTATTCTCCACTCTATCAACAGACCCCAGGGTCATGAGTTCCTTTTTCATCCTTCCTACTTTTAACACAGAAAAATGCACCCATGTTCCAGCGCATGGAGCCCTCATCTCTGCCTCAGGAGATCATTGCTAATGCCAAAGCCCTGCCTTATCTCCAGCAGGACCCTGTTTCAGGCCTGTGAGTATAACCAGTGGGTCCACAACCAGTGGGTCCAGTGGGATACAAGCTGCCCTGCTTGTATCCTCTCACCGTGGCATTGTGCAGGCCCAGGAATGCTCCAGAAATAATAGTCTGAGCCCAAGAAGACATTTTTTATTTATGTATTTAATTCTTTTAATATTAACTTTTTTTAATTTTTATTTACTTCTGAAAGAGAGGGAAGCAGTGTGAGCAGGGGAGGGTCAGAATGAGAGGGAGACACCAAATCTGAAGCAGCTCCAGGCTCTGAGCTAGCGGTCAGCATAGAGCCCGACACGGGGCTCGAACCCACGAACCGGGAGATCATGACCTGCGCTAAAGTCGGACACTTAACTGACTGAGCCACCCAGACGCCACTAATGTTAACTTTTGATATAGAGTACCGGGTGGGAAGGGGCAGAGAGAGAGGGAGACACAGAATCTGAAGCAGGCTCTGAGCTGTCACCACAGAGCCTGATATGGGGCTCGAACTCACAAAGGAAGTTGGACACCTAACCGACTGAGCCACCCAGGTGCCCCATTATGTTTTTTATTTTAAAATGGTTATTCAGCAGGGGTAATAGAAAGGCTGACTATGCATGTTTGGTACTGTGGCCAGCTCAAGAGATAGCACTGGGAATGGACAAAGGAAAGAAGGCATATGTTAGTATCATCACTTTAACAAATAAGAAATTGGAGATTAAATAAGTTGCCAGTGCCACGGGGCTAGTAGGAAGCTGAACTGGAATTTAAGTTTGTTATTCCTAACTCCAGAGTATTCCCACTACACTGCTATCTGTAATGAACAAAAGGAACCTTAGATCAGGCAAAAAAAAAAAAAAAAAAAAAAAAATATTGGAAACGGAAACAAACAAAACCTCAGTTAAGGAATCTGTCAACTCTTCTGAGTTGCAAGCCTCAGCCCCCACTCGTTTGTTAGTCATAAATNCTCTATATTGGAAACGGAAACAAAACCTCAGTTAAGGAATCTGTCAACTCTTCTGAGTTGCAAGCCTCAGCCCCCACTCGTTTGTTAGTCATAAATGATTTATTATAGCATCCCTATCTCATTATAACATGATCTTTCTCTCAACAAGCATGTGTGAGTACCCAAAGGGCAGAAATCCCTCTACCCAATGTAAATGAGGTTTTATTGTTGGGTTTAGCCCAGTCCTGATTCTCATGGTGCCAATAATCACTAAAGATCACAACTTCAGTAATTATCAGGGGAAGGGAATCTGTCAGAGTGCCATTTGGAGTCTCTCCCACCATGAGTTCTTTTCTGCCTGTGGTGTTGGACACCTGTTTGTGAAAAACATTAATTTCAGAGGTCATGATCCAACACATTTGCAAGAGAAGCAAAGGGCCAACGTCATGACCAAGGCTATTGTTCATTTTTACAAGTATCTGATGTGATGAGGTAGCAAGGTATGGATTTTCCCTTCTACACAAAACCGGCAGGTGCTTATCTTTGGGCTGCACAGGAAAGCAGTGGAACCTTCTCAGTGGAAGGGTGTACGGCATTTTTCAAGAGTCCTTGGCTTAGAAAGGAGGTCATCCTCCACCTCGATCTCTCTCACTGCTACATTTTGCTATACATAACTCCCACATGGCATCTGTCCAACTTCTGTGTTTATTGATTCATTTACTCACAGATTGGACCAATATTAAAACCCAGTATGACGGAAAAGCTGGCTCAGGCACTAGGGATTTAGCACTCAACATGATCTCAGTCCTCATGGAGACCAATCTTGAGAAAGAAATTTACAAAAGTGATGAAAGTTCAAATAGAGAAGGGTGGCCTATTGTGATACCAAGGGAGGGAGGCAGCACACCTGGTCGAGGGGTCAGGGAAGTCCCTCTGTGGAAGTAACGTTTAAGTGAGACTCAGGCATGCTCTTCAAGAGAAGGGAGAATGTGATAAGCTTCAGGAACCTGAAAACTGTCACGATAGCTGGAGCAGGAGACAAACTCTGCCCGGGCCAGCACGTGGGAGCATTGTAAGTGGAATACAGAAGTGAGGTTTTATCTAAGGATCGTGGGATTTTACTTGTCAGTGTGTGACACGATCAGACTTGAGCTTTTCAAAGATCATTCTTGCATCCAATGTGGGCTCGGATCAGAGGGGAGGAGTTTGAGAGACAGTGCTGCTTTGGGCATGTGACTGCAATTGTGAGTTATTAATGACTAGAAAAGGGAAGAGATGCAAAGACTTGAAATATTACCAGTAGGGAGACTGGATAGGATTTGGGGATTGATTTGCCTCAGGGAGTAAAGGAGAGACCCTCCCCCCAAGTTTCTGGCATGAGCCCTTGGGATCGATGTTGACATATTTCCTGAAAGGGGGACATTGGTCCCTTAGGACCTTCTGCCCTCACTGAGCTTATACCTGGTGGGAAGTCAGTCCTGAAATAGGATTATTAGAAAGAAGAAAACAGTGTGGCAGAATCTGAGTCCATCTGAGTCCTAGAACTGCCAGTCCAGTTCTAGGAGACATCAGAGAGCATTTACTTAACAAAATGAATTTTGAAGGATGAATTCAAAATAACGAACAGAGCTTGTGGAGGGCAGAGGAGTTGAGGAGAAGCATTCTGTTCTCTGGGAACAGCCTGTATCAACATCTTGAGGCAGAAAGAAGCCGGGTGGGCACATTCAGTGAACTTAAGAGAATGAAATTCAGGAGCAGGAAGTGAAGGGCAAGAGGAAGCTGGCAAAATAGGAACTAGATCATGAGAGGCCATGTTCCATACTGTGTCTGGCTTCTCATTGTTAGGATAAAGTTTTTTAAGTTGGAAGTCAACTCTTGGTTCAAGTTAGGCAACTCTCTGAGGTTGTTCAGGTGATTCCAAGGGTCCATTCTACCTACTAGGGATTCTGTGATTACTCATAGAGCAGTGCCCAGTGGTTGGTTCTCAGGAGAAGACACACTGAGGAAGGTGCGTGTAAGCAGAGCATTTAAAGATCAGATCACTCTGTGTCAGTTGTGAAAATTCAGCAAACATTCTCTCAGCAGCAAAGGGACAGACAGGTGGGGTGACTCTCTGCACTTCAGCTCTCTCTCCCTGTGAGCTGAGTCAAGGTAAGATTGTGCCTATGGATTATTTTTAAGTAACTGGCAACCCTGGTTTTATGCCTCAAATTTTCCAGTGGATGCATCCATGAGTGCAGTAGACTCAACTATGAAAGGGCTGTGCCACAAGCATAAGATGGTACCCCATCTCTCCGTGCTAGCTCCACTGTTCCTGAGAGCTGGGGCCCAGCCCCTGACCACTTTCCTTCTTCCCACCATCAGGAAGCTCCCTCTGCACCCTTGAGTAGGTCAGAGGGCACCTGATATTGTACAGCAGCTATCTTCTCAAGAAAGTCTAGGTCCTCTTTTTCTCCTAACCAGTCCAGTGGATCCCATTGTCTAAGAGTGTCCACAGGTACCAAACAGTGGTTTAATTACAGGCACACTGGGAGAACTGTCCATACCTTTCATTCAGAGGCCCCTTTCCTCATCACCACTCAAGCACCCCCCTACATAGCCAACAACCCAGAAGTTACCACCACCTCTGAGATCACTCCACCCAGTTCGTAAACCAACAGACCCCCTGTCTGTCAGAGTCATCCTTCACTAAACGCTCACGGCATTTAATTGTTTAGCTTGGCCAGGGTGTTGGCACAATAAAGCCGTATTTCTACTGAGAGTGGAGGAAATTTCTTAAAAGACCATGGCTGCTTAATATTTAAACAAACTGTTCACTGTTTAAACGATGGCATTTTTTTTTTCTGCTGAAGGGAGAAACTGAGCAGAAACAGGTTTGCAATCTAGCACTGGTCTTCCATATGGCTGAGTGTGACAAATAATGTCGTTTGTCACAGATATGCTAGTCACCAGCAGAATAATGAGTGGTTCCAGATGCAGGTTGAAAACAGTGGCTTCTCCTTTCCAATGCTTTTTTTTTTTTTTTTTTTTTTAATTCTTGTATTCTAGGGTCCAGCCACCTGTCAGTTACCAGGCTTACAAGCCAGCCAGTCTTAAAGGGTGGTGCCCTTGCTGGGAAGGAAGTCTTCTCTAGGGTGGGGAATTAGTAGTGGTGCCTTTGACAGGCCTTTCTCTCTTTTTCCCTCATGTACACATTACCTCCTACTTTGCCATTGCTTTTCAGGAGTGGCCGTAGTGGATACCCTTCGATGAGTCCACTCTCCCCCCAGGAAATATTCCAGTTGGCTTGTATGGACCCAGCCGATGATGGACAGTTCCAGGAACAGCAGTCTCTGGTGAATGAATGAGTTACATGACCTCAAAAATAGTTGCTTGGTTTCCTGATCCCTCCCACTCTCATTTCCAAATTTTATTTCATAGCTATGATTTATTAGGAAAATCCTTTCCCATAGTCCTGCCAGTTAGTTACCCTGGGAGTTTCCTGCTGTCTCTCCTTTCACAGCTAAATATCCCATGTTCTCTGGTAAATGCTTCCTCTGCAGATCTGACAGTTTCCAGGAGGCCCCTTACCTACTGCAGGGACTTACATTGCTTCAGACCAAACCTTCCTAATTTATGCCTGTAAGCAGCAAATGTAGAAGCAAGAGTCAAAATCTTGCCTTTGATATGGGGACTTAGGATGGACCACCACCAGAATGAATGGCACCAAATGGACAGCTTAGTGCAGCCAGGTGCTGCTTCTGGGGACACAGGAATGCCCTACGCCAGCCCTTTGGGGACTCCCAGCTCCTGGATCACTCAGAGGAGCATGTGTGACAGTGACCAGCTGCCAGCCGAGAGTTACAGAACAATCTCTTACCTCTTTTCGGTGCGTCCCTTTGGGTCACAATTCTACCAGTCAAGTACTTTCTAAGAGGTCCCTAAAATCCCTCCCAAGCCTAGAGTTTTTCATTTTCAGTTTAATGTATAATTTGAGAGCGCGCGCAAGAAGGGTAGGGTCAAGAGAGACAGAGACACAGAATCTGAAGCAGGCTCCAGGCTCTGAGCTGTCAGCACAGAGCCCGAAGTGGAGCTCAAACCCTCATGTGTGAGGTCATGACCTAAGCCCCAGTTGGACACTTAACCCAATGAGCCACCCAGGTGCCCCAAGCCTAAAGTATTTTTATTAGCATAAATGATAAAAATTCCCGAGAAACCTCTTGAATCAAGTTGAAGTTGGAGAAGAGGGGGCACACTGACCTTTAGATTTTGCTATTACAAAGCTAAAATGTGATTTCCAATGATAATAGACCTTACCATTATCCTTAGTTTAGGAGTCATCAGATCAGGTTCCTTCCTGAGCTTAGAATTAAAGCCCAAGTGTCCATTGGCCTGGGAGGAAAAAGACAAAACCCAACATTTGCAAGAGTCCATATAGACTGCTTATACTAAGTTCTGTGCCACTTTGATTATAATTCATCTGTGTTTTTTCTCTCTCCTTCTCCCCTGACCCCTCTCCACTGCTGCTGTGCACCCCAGAGCCATCCTAGATGGATGATGTGGGTGGAATGTGGGACTGGCCGGCTTATGGAGTGCATATCTGCTGGCATGAGTACCCTCAGAGCAGGTCAAAACCCTTTGGTAGCACAGACAAATGGGTGCTTCCCTCTTTGGTGATTGTGAAGACAGGGAATTCTGCATAGTTGTGTTTGGGAGGCCAGACCAGACCCTCGCATGGTATGAGTGCCTTAGGTGTACTTGGTAAGGGAGGCAGGAAGCCTTGGACGAATTTCCTGCCTTTCTTTATGAGGAATTTAGCACCATAGACTAATTGGCACAGATAGTTTGATTCTTAAAAGTGCCTGTCAGCATTTTACAGCTTGTCTGCCTGATGATGTGTCTGGCTGGGAAAATCTCAATAATGTGTCCTTTCTTTCACAGGGAGGTTTTCTTTATTGCATCATTATTTCCATGGGTCCCCCAGAGCCAAGCCGTAGTGCCAGGACTTTCTGGATATGTGTTCATCTCATTGTCAGTACTGGTGTCTGTAATTCAGTTCAGGTGTCAGCCCGTGCTACACTCTCACCACTGTGTACCTCCTGCCCATCCCTTGGGGGCCCCTGTTCCACATCCAGAGGCGTGGCCATGATGTGTGCGTGTGTCTTACACTACCTCTCACACCCTGCAAACTGTAATGTTGTTACCACATCTGTTTCAAGTCGGACCTGTGTGCTTTATGAAGCATGTACTACAAACACTATAATTTCCTTATGCACACTTATCACATGTTCTAGGAAGGCAGTCCTCTCATTCACCTCAGTAACCACCTGGCCAAGTGGTCTTGGGCACCCTTCCCTTCAGCAGTGCCGTTTGTTTAGACAACTAGGTTTTTAGGATATAATTTCCTAACTTTTTAAAATCTGGTATATAATCTCAAGATGTCCAGGATATTTCTAGGTCTCTCTGGTGACCATGTAAACATTTCCAAGGCAGCCCTACCCTCTATGAAATGACAGTAGCTCTCCGTATAGATCATGTACATTGGCCAAACTAACATTCTTGAACCAGGAAAATAACAAAAAAGAGTTGTACAGGCACTTGAAATGTACTAGTCCAAACTGAGATGTGCTATGAGTAGACCTGGTACAAAAAAAAATGCGAAATATCTTAATTTTTAGATTGATTACATGTTGACATGAGGATATTTGGATATACTGGATTAAATAAAATACATTAACTTTGATAAAACTACTTTTTTAAATATAGTAGGTAGGAAATTTAAAATTACATAGGTAGCTTGCATTATATTGGACTCTACTGGTTTAGAGCATCCCTGACAGATGGCCACTTACCACCTGTTTCAAATGGTTTCAATCATAGGAAAGCTCTCAGCTAACAAAATCCTGTGTCTTAAGGTTTGGGGCGATATATTTGACACCAGAAATTGGTGACTTTCCTTAGAGTAGGAGTTTCTATTTATCTTGGGAGGGCCAGAGAGAGGGAGAGAGAATCCAAAGCAGGCTCTGCACCGACAGCTTGGAGCCTGATGCAGGGCTCAGACTCACAAACCGTGAGAGCATGACCTGAGCCAAAACCAAGAGTTGGACGCTTATCTATTTAGTTGATAAATAGGCTTATTCTTTTAATCTGAAGAAGCTAACACTACCAACTCTCAAAAAGTAGACGTCACATATCTAGGTAGTATTATGACTAATAATGCTTTACAAAGCTATGCAATCTGAAGCATTGCTTTGTAATAAATAAAAGTGATAAGTACTTGACTAGGAAAGGTAATCTTAACCTTTTAATCCCAGGTAGAACTTTCTCTTTGGGACATCTGGTATGCCACATGTTGCACACATAAATGGACACATATATACACACACAACTGAGACCATAAAGATACCAGTCTCTCTTATAAAAGCTATTTTGGTTGTGGAGGAGGCAGAATCATCCACTGGAGGTGAGAGCAGTGAGATGGAACCAAGTCCCACAAGCATGGCTGTGTGTTTATTTCCAGGAGCCAGAGGTTAGTGAATTAAAAAGCGTGCAGTCCTCTAACCATGGCATCTACCTTCCTTCGGACACCCAGGAGCATACGGGATCTGGGAGGGCATCCTCTATGCCACGCCTGACTGTGGATCCCCAGGTAAAAAGCTGTCACCACCTACCCTATGCAGTGGCATCCTGGGCTGTATTGAATTGGTGGGTTATGAAAGACCATTTGCTTTTATCAGGTGAGCTCTTGACTTGCCCCCATCCCTTCCCTATAAGCAAAATCTGGCTCATGGGCCTTCTTTTTAATAGAGCCTACTCCTCCACCGTGTGTCTTCAGTGAAGCCCTAACCATAACAGACTAGCCAGCAAAATGGTAGAACTCCTGCTGGATGGGATCAACATTCTCAAGACTCAACCAGCCATGCAAGAAACATTTTCCAGGATTTTCCCTGTGTATTTTTCCTTTTCTCCTTTCCTGGCTCCCCCAGCACATACGCAATTACTTACACACACAGCTCTGTGTCAGGACCGTCTGTCCTAACCAGTGCAGGCCACGCCTCATTTCTTTGTCTGTTTTCCTGGCTTCTTTTTTCTGTCTGTCTGTCTCACATCAAGTTTTGACAGAGACAAGAAGTTTTTGTGGATCTGTTTTAACATCTGTGGCAAATCACAAATGCCAGAGTTTAAGGTGGGGCTAGGGTGGGACCCATGATAGAGAGCAATTCATTCTTAGATGCTGCCCAGTGACGAGCTCTCCTACACTCCCATGCTACGTGGCAGGGCCTTCTGTGGTGAGGGCACAAAATAAAAGGCAAAGCTGTGCTTCTTTCATGGTGCAGACTGTTTTGACAATTGCCCTCACCCCTCACCTATCCCAAGGTTCACTGCAGGTCCTGGCTCAGTTCTTATGGCAAATGGCTCTCTGGGAAGCTTACACTGGACACTCAGTTGCTTGCTTTCCTCAGCATGAAGATAAGACCCTAGTTAAGTCTCAGTATCTGGGTTAATATAGCATAAGACACTTTCTGGAACAGCCTCCTTCAGCTAAGGTCTGAGCAAGGGGGATGCAAGGGAACTTACGCTTGGCAATCTTCAACAATTTCTATCTCACTTCTTCCCTAATTTCAGAACCTTCCAATAATTAATCCAGATTTTGTGTTCCTCGGGGGGCTCCCATTTCCAGGTGGTGACAGACGCTAGCTCCATGAGACGCTCGTTTTCCACCATTCGGGATAAGCGTTCAAATTCCTCATGGCTGGAGGAATTCTCTATGGAGAGAAGCAGTGAAAACACCTACAAGTCACGTCGCCGGAGTTACCACTCCTCCCTGAGACTGTCAGCTCATCGCCTGAATTCTGACTCAGGTGAAGGGGTCTACACTGTTCACCTCTTTTCAGGCTCCCACTCTGATGACCAAGTCTGGCAAGAACTGAAAATCACTGGAACGGGATGCCGATAAGGATACAGGTTGAGGAGAGTGAGGGAAGGAAGAACGCTCATCACCAGAAGAGGCTCCCCCATGTGACTAGCCCCAAAATGAAGTCCTCTATATTCATCACAAAGGCTGAAATTTCTTTCTTTCAGAGAAGGGCTATAGAAAGCATTAAAATGTATACAGAGTTACCAAATCCATTATGCTATATACCTGAAACTAATATAACCTTGTATTTCAGTTATATTTCAAAAATAAAAAAAAGTTGAGATTTTCAAAATGGCCTTCTGCAAAACCCCTGGAGTTTCTTAGGGGGCCTCTAATATATTCCTGGCAGGGGGCTGGGCTCTCACCTCCAACTGCACTTCACCTTCAGTAGGGCTACCTGGAATTGTGTTAGGTATTGGAGTTTGCGTTTGTGTTTTTAAGGAAAAGGGTCATACTGATAACAATCATTCGCAAATCATTAGTCTGCCTCAAACTCTATTTCACGAGATGAGGAAGCAGATTGAAAAGCAGTGACATGCCAAAGTCAGGGCCAGTAAATGGCAGACATGGGACTGGAAGTCCTCAATGGGACAGAAACAGTTGGACCTCCATACCTTCTACTAATGCCATCTTCCCCCGCAAAAAGGTACACACCCATATTTAGAACATGGAGAATTCCTGAGTCGTAGTGTCAACAGAGATTCTATCTTAATCGTGTTCAGGGTAAACAGAAGCAGAAGAGAACCAATTGCATCCTTTGGCATATGTGTCTGCACACTTACCTCTTCACAAAGGGCAATTTTCCAACCTTTCTCTCCTGCCTCTGACATGCCTGGAGAAGCTAAGGCTCTTTAGGGTCCCAGTCCCAGGCTATAGGACATCTCTTTATGTTCTCAGGCCAGTACGGGGAGAATTGTGATCAGATGCTTTTGTCTTCTCTCCCAGGCCACAAGTCTGACACCCACCGCTCAGGGGGCAGAGAGCGGGGACGGTCAAAAGAGCGAAAGCATCTTCTCTCTCCCGATGTCTCCCGCTGCAACTCAGAGGAGCGAGGGACCCAGGCTGACTGGGAGTCCCCTGAGCGCCATGAGTCCAGGTCTCCCAGCGAGGGCAGGTCACAGACCCCCAACAGACAGGTGAGCATGGAGAGGACATGGAACCTCTAGAAAAATAGGGAAGGGTGGTCTGTTACCATTAGGTGCAAAATACGGAAACCCACACACACCCTGGTTTCACGGGAAACTACATCCATTGTGCGCAGAAGTTAGCTACTCATGCTTGTATACCCAGAAAGGATGTGAAATCACAGGAAACCAGATAGTCCCCCCAAGAAAGGCAATGGTATCTAGAAGTCATTCCCCCTCAGTCCTCAGAACCCAGATGTGCAAAGTCACAAGAAACAAGCGCAAGAATGTCTCAGCCAGATTTAGGAGGAAAAGATCAGCTTTAGCCAGAAACGTTTCTTTGACCAGTTACATGATCCCATTAGTTAGAAGGGTGATCCATCCCTCAGCACAGGATTTCTAAGTTGGATCAGCTCAACCTCATTTACTTAGCTTCCAGTCATCCCAAAGGGAAGACCCCCTACTCCTCCAGCCTAGTACTGAAACACCAGCCTTTGCCTGCGAAATCACTCCCAGAGCTATGTGAAAACATTCTCTAGCCCTGCTTTCCTCCTCGCAGCCCTACACCTCTCTTCAAGGCTGTCAGAGCCCAGACGGGAGACCCAGTCAACATCAGTGAGCAGAGGGGAGGAAGAGGGGCTAAGACAGTGGACTTTTACAGGCAGTGGAGAACTTTCTTCTAGAGCAGTGGCTTTCAAATTTCAGTGTAGAATATAATCACCAAAGCTTGTTAAGATTGCATAGTCTGGGGACCTAAAGCATTTTACTTCAGTAGTGAGGCCATCTAGAAAGGGAAACCCAGAAATCTGCAGTTGAAAAGACCCCTTCTTCCCCCAAGAGTTTCTGAGCAGGTGGTTCATGGGTCACACACACCTTGAGAAACACCTTCCGGAAGGTCTGTTTACCAGCACTGGGTTCAGGGACCCTTGGGAACAGGTGAGCAGGTCAAGTAAGGTCTGCAGCAGCAGCTGATCCTATGGGTGTAGGAACCGAGTTAACATCAGCAAGCCACAGGAGACGTGCAGGCAAAAAGAGAAGAAGAGGGAAGGTATTTGCCCTTCCTTCGGATCCACTTCCCAAGAAGGATATTCCAGATACTGACCTTAGAGCATTCATTCGCCTTTCCTAGAAGTTGTCTTTCTCAAAAGGCTTTCTTTCCGTGAGCTGCTTGTTACATATGTAGAGCTTCCAGAATTCTGCTACTTAAAATGCTTGTCATACATTCCAGCAGCACCCAGGAGCTTGTTAGAAATGCAGTCTCAGGCCTCAGCTGCAGTTTAAATGGACCTGGCCTGGCCTATGTGGTAGAGATGGTCAGTCTTAGTTCATCCCTGCATTCCTAAGGGGAGGGGGCTGGCAGCAGAGGGGACCCAAACGCAGATTGCCCTCCCCCAGAGCCCAGACCCCAGGGGCTATCAGAAGGGTTAGGGGCTGCAACAGGGCTGCAAGTAGGGATCAGGCCTGGCCTGGTCTAACATGCCACGTCTGTCCCCCTGCACAGGGCACGGGTTCCCTGAGTGAAAGCTCCATCCCCTCCGTCTCTGACACCAGCACCCCAAGACGAAGTCGCCGACAGCTGCCACCCGTGCCGCCAAAGCCTCGGCCTCTCCTTTCCTACAGCTCCCTGATTCGACACGCCGGGAGCATCTCTCCCCCGGCTGATGGCAGCGAGGGCGGCTCTCCGCTGGCCTCCCAAGCCCTGGAGAGCACGGAGGCCAGCCTGGCAGAGTCTTCCAGCGCCCGGCACATACAGCAGGGCCAGCACGCCTCCCCACAGCGCTACATCTCCGAGCCCTACCTGGCCCTGCACGAAGACTCCCACGCCTCGGACTGTGGCGAGGAGGAGACGCTCACCTTCGAAGCAGCTGTGGCCACCAGCCTGGGCCGCTCCAACACCATCGGCTCCGCCCCACCGCTGCGGCACAGCTGGCAGATGCCCAATGGGCACTATCGGCGGCGAAGGCGCGGGGGGCCCGGGCCAGGCGTGATGTGTGGGGCTGTCAGCGACCTCCTGAGTGACACGGAAGAGGACGACAAGTGCTAGAGGCTGCTCCCCCCTCCGATGCATGCTCTTCTCTCACCCGGAGAAAACCAGGACCCAATTGGGAAGCCAGTGCTGCCCGGGGGGGGAGGAAGAGGGAGGAGGAAGACGGAAGGACACCCTGCGTTATCCGACGGGAGGAAGGAAAGGACACCAGGAAAACCAGTTGAACCCGCCAGATTGCTTTACTTCCCTTTGCAAGACGGGCACTGCCATAGTTCTGCCCCTTTGCCGGGGAAAGGAAATCTGAGAACGTGGAGGAGGGTTATTCCCATGGCAGAAGGGACGTGAGGAGGGCTTTGCTTCCCCTTGCCCCTTCCCACTTTTCTATAAGCCGTGGGGGGACGGAGCTGGCCTGTGTCTACGCCCATTGCCCTGAAAAGCCTGGAAGACTTTCTGGCTCTTAGCTGGGGAGTCATGGAGACCACAGGACAGGAATCTCCTCCCTCACCGGTTCTTGCTCCTCAGCCAGCACCAGTGCCATCAGGCCGATGGCAACAGCATCTCACGTGTTACCCTATGGCTTGCTTCCCCCAAAGAAGCACAGGCTAAGTTTAGGAGCCTTGGATGCCAAGGATAGGAGGCAAGGAGGGAGGGGAAAGCTGAAGTGGAAGACGGGATCAGGGTGCTGTGGCGGTAGCAGCAAGGGCTGGTCTGGGTGAGCAAAGCCATAGTCCAGCAGCCCCGACCACAGGGGAGAGGCTCAGAGCGATGAAGAATGGGCGGTAGTGAGGGCAACAGTCCTGTCTCTTTGAAGCCTGTCATCCACGCGGCAGGTGCTGTATTAGGATAGGCCAGGGAGGCCCCTCAGGCTCCACAGAGGTGCCCGACGCTCCAGGAAGGGTGAGGTCTTAAAAGCATTTAACAACCTCTGTGGCCAGAGCCCCAGCTGGCAGGAGCGGATGTTCAGCTTCCTGCTGGAGCCCCGCACTCTGCCAGGCTGTAGCCCTGCAAACGCTGGTCACAAGGGGTCCCTAAGGGTGGTGGGGAGCACTTAGGGCAGAGTCTGTTTTCCAGCCAGTCTAGAAGGATGTGGAACAGTCCTACAGTTGTATCAGCACTTATGGCTGAATGTCAGCCTAGACTCTGGCCCAGGAGGCAGCGGGCCTCCCTGCCAAGCAGCAAGGCCAAGTGCCAGAGGCCCAGCCTTCCCTGCCACTCGCTGAGAAGGCAGCACACATATACCCAAGGTAGGCCCTCCATCACTGAATGGAGACTTCTAGAGAGAGAGAAAAGGCAGACAGATTGAAAGGAGAAGCTTCCATGAGAGTATCAGTCTGAGTTTACTGAGGGGACCTCCTAGGAGGAGGGCCTTTGGTCTGGCAGCTTCCTCAGCTCATTTGTGGTTGATAGTCAGTTTGACAGGATACTTTGAAGGTGATCAGTAAATATACCTCAGCTTAGACCTGGGCTGCTCCTCCTAGCAAAGTAGGCTCTGGTGGGGCCTCATCACACACGGTGAGGAGACTGGAGTCCTGGTGGCCTTGACTATCTCCTGGGGCCAGGACTGGGCTTTACCCCTCCCCTGAGGAAGAGCTGGGCAGAAGGCAGCCTCAGGCCACTGTGTCATTCTTAACGCCCCCACTCTCAGAAGCATTACGGAAAAGAGGGCCTTTCTTGGCTAATCAGTGCTCCTCTTGTTTAGATGGTCCATTCAGGGAAGCACATCCCTCTCTTTATCTGGTGGAAATGTACCATCCCCTCCACTTCCTCCCTGGTCTCATCACTGTAGCTGGAAGGAGCCCCGGAGAGGGGTGCCAGGCGGGGCTGTCCCTTCTCCGCCAGGAGCAGGTGGAGCTTGGCCCACAGGACACCCCCACCCCAGCCTGACCTCACAGTGGATAAACACTCTTTTTTTATCTTCCTCCAGCCAAGACAGACTCCACCTCGTGGGTAGGAGAAGTTAGTGGCTGTTATTTTTCTTAGATGGAGCCTCTTTTTACTTACGAAGCTTTTTGTTTTGGTTGAAATAGAACTAAGGCATAGTTGCATCAACCTTGAAAAGCCAAATACAGTCACATGGCTGCAGAATCATTTGTCATGGCTCTGCCTTCTCGTCTAGATATTGATGCAGCTTCATGACCCATGGTCTGCCCCTCCGATCAAAGGACTCCCGGGGCAGGAGACCACGGAGGCAGAACACAAGCTGCCTCCCCTCAGACCTTCTGCTCACTTTCATTTTCCTCTCCCGCTGAGCACTCGTGTGCTCGGGCGTAGCTGGCAATGGGAATGTGACTATGGAACGCCCCGATCCTAACAGGCGTGCACTTTACATAAGACTCAGGCGCTGGGCCTCGTATCGTTTAAAGGTTTCCTCCGCTCAGCATCATTTCGTGCCAAAGCGCTGCTGTGGGCTGCTTTCTGTGCACAAAATTGCTTTCTTCCACCTCAGAAATGCAGCTTTCCCTGGGGACAGGCCCACAACAGGACAGCCGTTCTGAGTCAGCAAGTCTATTACATTGTGTTTTGAGAAAAGGAATTGAAGCGGAATCTTAGGCCATTTCAACAGTAGGAGAAATTTGGGCTGCCAGAGCAATTACCAGAAATGGAATTTGCCTGTAAACCACATTACAAACACTAAATTTACCGTGTCAGGAAACCTGCCTGGACACCTGAACTCCTTAAACTCATATACACACACGCATTTGAGTCTTCAATAAAGTGGTATAAAGCACTGCAGACGCAGTCTCCCGACCAACCACTTGTGTTTTTCTAGATCAATTCCCCCTGACCAAGAAATTGGGTTTCTTATCCCTTAGCCTGCATTTACCTTTCTATTAAGACCAGAAAATAAAAGACAGTGTTCTGTTAAGTCACAGACCTCATTATCATCATCATCTTCTAACCATTTCCTTTTGCCTCTTAATAAACATGAACTCTCGCCTTCCCTCTAATAGCTGACCAGGACATCCCTTCCTACTTACCAGATTCTGCCTCTTATCTTTCCCCTGAAGAGTGGCCCCTTGAGATCTCGAAACGTGTGCTTCTCTTTGGATTAAAAAAGTGTGGCAGCATCTCAAGAAATGCCAAGCAAACCGGGAACACTATCAGTGTTTGAGATACACAGTGTTATCCGAGTTAGTACTGCAGGGCCCCTCAGAAGAATCTTTATATGTCCAGTTTCCCTTGCTAATATTAGTCTTAAGCATCCTCTCAAAACAGGGAGGGAGGGGAGGAGGGGGGAAAAAAAGAGAGGAGAAGGGAAAGAAACCAAGGTAGAGAGCTGTTCTAACTTGTGTTTAGATATTCCTCTCTTCAGCTCCAGACAGACTTCGGGTAACAAATTCATGTGTCCCCCTCTCTCAAGCCCCATGAGGTCAGAATGCCAACAGGCCTTCATACTTAGGGGTAGAGCTGTAGGTCAAGAGGCTCTGTGAGCCAAGGTCAAGATAGAATTACCTACACTATGAAGAGAAAGTACCCTTGAACGCCCCCCTCCCCCAGAGTTGACAATTTGAACACAACTGCCCAGAGTGGACCTGTCCCCACTTCTAGCTGAAGAATCTGTTTCTATTCTGGGCTTCATTTCTCCCTGCTCAATGTCCCTGTGGGGTACTGAGATCACAGATAACATTTCTCTGAAGCTGAAATCCAGATGTTCTGGATTTTGCTCTCTCTTGACTGGGACCACAAAAAGACAACCCCATATTCCACCACCCAGACAGCATTGTCTTTCCATACACACATCCACCTCTCCTGCAGCCTTCGTGGTGAGCCTCAGTGTCTCCTGCCTTCTAGTCTCCCAGCCCAGCCCTTGCTCTGCTGCATGTTAGCATTGACCCAACTCCTTAGATGGTTAAAGCCGCCTAGTCCAGGCTTGTTTGCTGACCTGCCTGTCTCTGCTGTGGAGGAAAGATTTGATCTCATGAAAATAGTTGGGAACTTACCAGGTGATATCCACAAGGTGATCTGGAACAGTATAAGGTGCAGTACTTTTGGGGCATGATGGGGGATATGAAATGTCTTCATACTTAACGAAAGCCCACTGCAGGCAAATTAGGTCTTTCCTGGCATAGAACAAAATTTAATAATTTTGGTTTTTTTGAAGAAAGTTCTCAATTTTTCATTATATCCTATTTCTAAAGCCTGTTCTGGTGGATGTCTCATTTTTGGATAGAGTTTGTCTTTAGTAGGCTGGGCCAGGGAGAAGTTGAGATTCTTTAATTTTTCAGCTCAGCTATAATAAATATTATGAGGTCATATAAAGAAAAGGTATATGTGTAGCAGGCAGGGAGCAGATCGTCCTCTACTTTGCAGGGATTTTGTGAAACTGGAAGGTTAAGGAATTTTCACCCTATTTTTGTTTATCAGTTTCATGTTTGTTATGATTTGAGACCTCCAAAGGCATGGTGCAAGTGTGCACAAAGGTCATGGTGAGGAGAGGCAGTTCTCTGCCTTGAGGGAGCCTCTTCCTCACTGGATTCTCCCATCTGTCCATTCTTCCTTCCTAGATTCCCAGGCATTGAGCAATGTCCAAGACGTTTAGGGGAGATCATTATAAGGCAAGATAAAAGAGAGAAGTGCCCCTTGCAAGTGGCCAGTTGGAGTATCATGTTTTAATTCCAGACAAGAGGCCCAGAAGGAATCGGGTCCAGGTTTGGATAAATATAGCTCCATACAGAGACTCTTATTTTAATAAAAGCCAAACAGAATTAACTCAGGACTTAGGACCTAACTTTTGCATGATATGAGCAAAGAGATCCCAGGTTAAGGAGTGCTGCCCCTGTCTTCAGCTCTTTCTGTCTTTTGTTTTCTCTTCGGTGAACCACCCAGTCTACTGTAGCCATTGATCCCAACAGAGCCTCAGCTGATGGCTTCTCTGCTGGTTGTGGTGGCAGGCTTAGCTAAAGAGAGCTGAGGTGATTGGTCGCCATCACATGCTGACCCTCATTCAGTCAGAAGAACACAGACCTACCACTTGGGCGGGGGGGGGGGGAGTGGATCAAACACTGAAAACACAACTATCTCTGGTTTCTGATGGCCATCTTTTTCTTCCTTAAATCCTTTCTGCTTTGACCCTCTGCCTAGGCATCCTGGAGAAATCACTCCAAGCCAAAGATAACACATCTGTAGATTGTCCCAACCTACCCAAAGGGCCTGGAAAGCTTCTCTTAACAAAACTCAAGACAGTTGGTTGAAAAATATGAACAAGACTCACAGCAGAGTCTAATGGATAGCTGGGGTACCTCCAAACAGGCCTTCTATTTTTGTAGTCTTCTTCCTTCTGCTCCCTTCCCTCGTGCTAAAAGTGGAGAGAAGGGGACACTAGTATCTTGACCTAAATGCACACGATTTTATAATAAGCCATGCTACTATGTAAATACATTATTGAAGTTTAAATTCTTATTTCTGGGGGTATGCAAGGGTTGAGCAGATCTGATTTTAAAAATGGTAAGGGGATCTACGTTTATTTTTATTTGGGATCTTTTTGTTTGTATTTTTTGCAACAGACCTGCTCTAGAATAGTAATGAAAGATAAATATGTGCTCTGCAGTATTTCTGAATCAGCTTCTAATTAATATCCATCAAACTTAGTATATTTAAGGCAAAAATCTGAAATTATACAGTACCAGTTCCCTCTTCTGGTTTTGTTTTTTTTTGTTTTTTTTTTTTTGTTTTTTTTTTTTTTTTTTTTTTTTTTTTTTTTTTTTTTTTTTTTTTTTTTTTTTTTTTTTTTTTTTTTTTTGGTCTTCTCTTTTTAAGTCAGTCTCTGTCTCCTGTTTCTAGGGACATAAAATATAATCTAGGTTAATGTAAAGCTTCCTGAAAACTTCACTGAAAGCCAAGGAAATAATAGAATGGGTATCGATTTTTTTGCCCCCAGGACATCTTTAACCAATAAATACAAAATTTAGGTCTTGAGGAGATAAAATGTTTAAGAGTGTGGTAATCTGGAAACGGAAATTATTGATAGTCAAAAACAATTCTATTTCAGCCTTCCATACTAGTGCCTTCAACAAGGGTATTGCATCTGCATGCTTTATTTCCCTCATTAGGAAAATTGAAATACTAAAAGCTTAGCTAATTCATGGGTGTGTCATAGTGTTTGTAAGTAAATTAATATCACATCATTAAAATTCTTAGTCTCCACAAATCAACTTAGAAAAATCTTCTGTCCTTATATCCCACTAAGGACCTATGAAATTCTTGGCATTGCTATAAGCATTCAATTTTTTGGAAGAAACTTCATGTTTAATGGAACCTTAGTTCCAGATTTGCTTTATTTTCACCATCTCTTCTTCCCATTTTTCCTTCTTCTTTTTAGCTCTGTAATTTAAAAAAATTAACTTTTTTTTTAATGCAGGAAAAAAGTTGAGTTTTCATGGTCAGAGCTTTCTGGTACCTACTTTTCGTGGACACGTAAGCCAGTCTTAGATCAAATAAACATTCTCTAATGCTTAGGATCCTCATGAAGTCCTCTTCTCCAACCCAGCATTGAAACAGGAGTCTTTTCTCTCTCACTTTGTTCTGCCAGTTTGTCAGAGGTAAAGGATTTCTCTGTATTCTGGAAACAGATCTGTAGAATCTGTATCAGCTACTACTATTTCCTCCTCAGTTCACTCAGAGGTGGGCCCTAAAGCCGAAAGGACCCTAAATCAAAGCTGCCAAATCCAAATTTGACCTTATTTGGTGACTCAGTGTTCTTTCCAGTAGTCTAATTTCTTTTAGTAATGGTCTATACCACATAGGAAACCCACTGCTCAAAGCAAGTCTGTTAGAAATCTGTATAAGGGATGAGCAGGAAAAACACACTCCAAAATTTCAAAGTGCCATTAATCAATTAAAAAAATATAAAGGTAAAACGAGGGCTAACCAATGTAATCTAACTGCCAATTAAAGTATACAGTAGTTCTGGTCTTAGCTACATTTGATATGGAGTTCTACCACATTAAGCAGACCCCAGCAGATTTAGTAAAAACATAGGCATTGAATTTTAACGGCTACCAATGGGGATATATACTTAGCCTGCAGGCCAAACTTCAATCAGTGTTTTTCTATCCTGGTGTTTTGTGAACAAGCCAAAATTTATACAAAGCCACCGTAAGTGCTGCAATTGCAGAGGAACCTCCCTCCTGGTGATATTAGAGAACAGTCCAACTCCACTCAAATTGAGTCCAAATTTTGGAACTCATCCAGAAAAACAAATGGAGGAGAAAAATCTAATGCGTCAAGTATAGTTGACATTTCATAGCTGGGGCAATGTGGGCAGAGGCTAGGAAGACAAGCTATAGAACAAAGAGAAGGTTGACATGGAAAATACCAACTAGTCCCAGGAGCAGAAGGTGTATGACCTGAGATTGTCTCTTATACTAGATCACTGGTAAACTTGTTAGCACGATACTAGATTCAGAGAAGTTCTTTTTGCTAAACTCACCAAAGGTAGTGGATTTGAAGGCCTCAGAGGATTAATAGAGAACTTTTCCAGAACTGGGAGATGGAGAGAAAGGAGATTCTTACTTTAAAGCAGCTCGAAGACAATCTCTGTGACTTTAGCATCTCTTCATTATAGTAATGTCAATAGTGGAGAGATTTCACTGATCTTCCTAGTGGTACAAGTACCAGGGGTGGTGAGTGGGACAGGGGATGAGCTTAATCAGAAATAGATTTCAAACTGTGAAGGGTGCACCGGTACCAGCCTCAAAGGATATTGTTACAAAAAAGTAGACAAACGGGTGTCCAGGCCATGCCCTCTGTCCTTTGGGACCTATGGTCAGGCCATTCCCACCTTGATTTGCTCTTAGAGGATGAGCATATAAGACAGGATCAAGAGGAAAATTGGGTGCTTTGTCTTAGGCTGTTAAAACGCTGCTGCCTGCATTACAAACCACATGTGAGTCAAGACACTCCAGATACTTCCTTATGGGCAGCATCCACTGCAGTGTGCCAGCCTGACACCCCTTCAGTAGTGGTGTATGAATGGCAGCCAGTGCTGGCCCGCCCAGAGTATCGGTGCATCTTTCCTAAAGCCAGAGTTCAGCACTGCATGTTGACCAGGTGGATATCCTGTAATATAAATGCTCGTTTGGATCCAAAAGGAAAATTATTAAAAATAAAAGAAAGATGAACAACTTTAATGTTTTTGGGGGGGTCAAAGAAAAGAATAAATAAAACCT